GGCAAATAGGATGCAGCAAATCATCAAGAAGATTATACACCATGACTGAGTGGGATTCATTCCAGGAATGCAGGGATGGTACAACATACGTAAATCAATAAATGTAATCCACCATATCAATAAAGCCAAAAGTAAGAATCACATGATCATTTCTATAAATGCAGAAAAAGCCTTTGATAAGGTCCAACACTTATTAATGATAAGAACTTTACAGAAAATTGGAATAGATGGTCTTTACCTCAATATAATAAAGGCCATTTATGACAAACCAACAGCCAGTATCATACTAAATGGCCAAAAATTGAAGGCCTTTACTTTAAAATCAGGCACAAGACAAGGATGTCCTTTATCACCACTCCTATTTAATATAGTACTGGAAGTACTAGCCAGAGCAATTAGACAAGAGAGAGAAATAAAAGGGGTAAAGATAGGAAAAGAAGAAGTTAAATTATCATTGTTTGCAGATGACATGATACTCTACATAGAAGACCCCCTAAATTCCATTGAAAGACTCTTAGATATAATAAATAAATTCAGTAATGTAGCTGGATATAAAATCAATACTCAGAAATCAATAGCATTCCTATACACTAACAACAAAATCACAGAGAGAGAAATAAGAGAAACTGGGCTATTCACACTAGCAAGCAAAAAAATGAAATATTGAGGAATTACTCTTACGAAAGTGAAAGACCTATACAGGGAAAATTATGATACACTGAAAAAAGAAATTGAAGATGATCTCAGAAAATGGAAAGACATCCCTTGCTCATGGATAGGAAGAACAAACATTGTGAAAATGGCCATTCTCCCAAAACTGTTATATAGATTCAAAGCAATCCCAATAAAAATGCCATCAACATACCTTATTAATCTACAGAAATCACTCCTAAAATTCATCTGGAACCAGAATAGACCTAGAATAGCAAAGGCAATTCTAAGCAGCAAAGGCAAGTCAGGAGGCATCACAATCCCTGACTTCAAGTTATACTACAAAGCAACAGTAGTAAAATCAACATGGTACTGGAATCAAAACAGAGCTGAAGATCAATGGAATAGATTAGAAGATACAACCACAACTACAAACACACTCAACCACCTTATCTTTAAAAAATGAGCCAAGCAGGTTCACTGGAACAACGACAGTCTCTTTAATAAATGGTGCTGGAAAAACTGGCTCTCCATTTGCCGAAAACTAAAGCTAGACCCATGCCTAGCACCATGTACTAAATTAAAATCTAAATGGGTCAAAAATCTGAATATTAAAACAGAAACACTAAATCTATTGGAAGACAAATTGGGTAGAAGCCTTGAAGACATAGGGGTAGGTAGAGAATTCATGAACAGGACTCAAACCTCATGGGAAATACTTCCCAGAATCAATAACTGGGACCACTTCTTATTAAAAAATTTCTGCATGTCAAAAGAAATCTCCAGCATAGTGAAAAGAAAACCCACAAACTGGGAAAAGATTTTAGTGAACTCTCTCTCAGACAAGGCCCTCTTGTCTAAAACATATAAAGAATTTTTTTAAAAAACTCAGATCCCCAAAATTCAAAGATCCAATCCAAATATGGGCATCTGAAATGAATATGCACTTCTCAGATGAAGAAATACAAATGGCAAATAAATACATTAAAAAATGTTCATCATCATTAGTCATTAGAGAAATGCAAATTAAAACCACACTAAGATTCCATCTCACTCCTGAAAGAATGGCCAGGATCAAGAAAACCAACAACAACAAATGCTGGAGAGGCTGTGGGGAAAAAGGAACTCTCCTACACTGTTGGTGGGAGTGTAGACTGGTACAACCTTTGTGGAGGTCAGTCTGGAGATTTCTCAAAAAGCTGGGATTGGAAGTCCCATTTGTTACAGCTATTCCACTTCTAGGCATATTCCCAGAAGAACTGAAAGCATCATACCACAGTGATATATGTGCACCTATGTTTGTAGCAGCACAACTTGTAATCACCAGATCTTGGAAACAACCCAAGTGTCCATTAACTGAGGAATGGATAAAAAAGTTGTGGTATTTCTATACAATGGAGTATTATTCAGCTATAAAGAAGGATCACATTGAGATATTTATCAATAAATGGGCGCAGCTTGAGACCATACTCATAAGTGAAATAAATCAATCTCGCATGTGTGAATACCGAATAATTTCCCTAATGTAAGTAATGATTCAAATATATAAAAATATGGGGTAATCATGATTCCCCATTATGTGGCCTTGAAGCCTTATAAAGTTTTCACTTATTATTTGGAAAGGCTTTATTCTGGGCTTCTTGATATGGAAATATTTGAAGCTATAGTCTATGAAGTTATATTCAAATATTTCAAGGAAAAAGATAGACACTATGGTAACTACTATTAAGTTGGGTTATTTGGTGGTAAAGCACTAGATTGTTGAAACAGTCATGCTTTGACCTGTATTGTTATGTTGTTATGTCCTCTTTTATCTCAATCTCTCCCTTATTCATTAAAAAATTATTTAGTTATTTTTTGTGGTTTTTTTAATTAAGGGGAAAATTTTTAAAAATCATCAGGATATATTATAGTAACCTTTTTGATTTCCTAGTAACTTGATTTGAAGTCCTGTAATACTCCCACTATCTTGTTTTGACTGATTAAACTCTGTTCTGTTCTGTATGATAGTATCAAGTTTGAGGGTATAGGCAACTACATTGAAGGCAATAAGATTCACTAAGATGCCCATTCTGGTTTGACTATTATCTCCTTTGGAAGTCCTGTAATGTTTACAATGTTTAAGTTTTATTGGTCTTGTTCTCTACAGTTTTGTTCAACTTTATAATACCTAACGAGGTAGACAATTCTTCTTAAGGAAGCAAGAGGCATTATGGTAACCATTGTTGATAACCTTGTACTCTGTTCTTACATCATGTACTATGTCTATCCTTGGTTTTGACAGCTTTGTTTTGCCATATTTGACTTTATTCTCTTCCAAAAAAAAAAGTAATCAGAACTAAGGAGTAATAAAACCCAAAATGTGTAAATTTTGTTGTAAAAAAGAGAGGGAAAAAAAGTGCTCTAAAGGATACAACTGCAAGTGTGTTTAGGGGTGTTAAATAGCTGACCATATTAATGTTTTTGGTTGGATCATTGAACACAACTGTTTACAGTCTCTCTGTTTGAATGTTCACTTTGTATGCTTTGATACTGTGACTTGAGCAACTATCTCTAAGATGATAATGTGTAATCTATTAACTGGTGATTTTTTACTGGGTTTTTTTTTTTTTTTTTGTAGTTCTGTATTACTTGTACCCTTATACTGCTTTGTTTTGTTTTTTCTCTTTTTCCTTTTAAATAAAATTTTTTAAAAAATAGCAAGAGGCACAATGGTAACCACTTTTGATCACCTGGTATTCTATTTTTGCCTCATGTACTATGCCCACCCTTCTGTTCTAACTGACTCTGTTTTGCATAGTCATGTTTGGTTTTATTCTCTTCAAAAAAAGTAATAAGAACTGTGGGAATAATAAAACCCAAAAAGTCTAATTGTTATCGTAAAAAAGAGAGGAAAGGAAGGTGGACTAAGGGATATAACCGCAGGTACATTCGAGTGTGTAGAATGGAAAACCATATTACTGAGCTTTTGTTGGATCATTGAACGGAACTGTCCAATTTCCCTGTATGAATGTTCACTTTATATGCTTTAATTTTATAATTTGGACAACTGTTTTTGGGAAGATAACATGTAACCTATTAACTAGTGATTTCTTACTGTATATTTTTTTCTTGAAATTCTGTATTACTTCTACCCTTTTACTGCTTTGTTTTTTTATGTTCTTTCTTTTTTTTCTCTTTAGATAAAAAAAAAAGCGTGGTTCTCACTTGCTGCTCATGAAATGGCAGGTCCCTCAGGGCTTCTCATTTCTGCCACTGAAACACCTTTCCTCACTCCCCTCCCCCACAACCCCTAGGGCCCCTGGAATGTGGGCCAAGGTGGGGCCAGGAGACCTGAAGTCCTCCAAGTGCAAACCGTGTCTTCTCAGCAGTCTCTGTCTCAAGAATCCACAGAGAGAAACAGTAAGGATCAAGTTGGTTTAAATAAACAAGGATTCACCCTGTAAATGTTCTGAGGAAGAAGCCTCAGCCCAAGGAAAAGAGGTGAGGTGGCAGCAGCAGCAGCAGGAAATGCAAATGGACGCCAAAGCAACCTCTGCAAAACTCTGGAGCAAGTGCTGCCTCCGGGGTGGAGGCACTGAGGTGTCCCTCAGCGTGGAGCCTCTGGGCTGCGATCTGGGGGATCCCTGAGTGTGTGAATGCTGAAAGGGGAGCCCTCCTGAAATAACCTCATCTGCAAGTGAGGAAACTGCAGGGGAATCCCCTGTCTAGGGCCTCTCAGTCACCTTTTCCCTTTGTGGTTTTGAGAAATGTCAGAGCTTGCAGGCAGATCCTGTGGGTATAAAGACAGTTCCAGCCAAGCAGGCTGATGCACACCTGTGACCCCAGCACTCCGGGAGGCTGAGACAGGAGGACCTCAAGCCCCAGCCCATCCTGATTTAGGGAGACCCTGTCTCAAAAATAAAAAGTCAAAAAGGGCTCAGGAATTTACTCAGTGTGAGGGTCCTGGGTTCAGGACCCAGTACTGTACAGACAGGAAGGGAGCAGAAGACGGAGGGAAAGAGAGAGACAGAGACGGAGACCTAGAGCTAAGTAAATGCACACGGCCATGTCTCCCAGAGTTAACTCCTAGTCCAGATCCAGCCAGGCCACACGGCTCTGACTGATGCCCAGCGGTGAATCCTCCGTCTGTGTGGTGCCCACTCGCGTTCTGCCCCAGGCCCTTCCCTTCCACATGAGTCTGCTAAAGGATGGATTAGAGCCCCCCAGGCTCTGGTTTGAGCCTCAATCTCCCCTCAACCCCTCCGCAGGCAGCCAGGAGTCTGCAGGAGTGGCCTTCCTCCCTCCTGTGGAGCCACGCCCAGCACCAGGACAGGGACAGTGACCTCTCACTTCCTGCAGCACTGACTCACTGACATGAGTGCCTGGGTCCTAGACCTGCGTCCAGCAGGAGGCCAGGTGCAGAGTCGGGTCAGCACCATGGCAGCCAGAGTCACTGCCCTTCTCTGCCTTGGTGAGTCGAGAGGTGGGTGGGGATCAAGGGGAGCACAGGGACCCCACAGCCTAGGCCACTCCTCACTCCAGGGCTCTGCAGCTGCCCAGGGAATCCAGTCCCTCCATGGAGATCTGGGCTGTCTAGATGCTGTCCCTGTCCCACTCAAGGCCAGGCAAACTCATTGACCCATGGCTGCTGCCCAGACCTGCAGTGGCTCCAGGGCTCCTGCAGAAGAGGGAGAGGGGGTTTGGGGGCTGGAAACAGGGGTGAGCCCCAAGACTGTGCCTGCCATGGGAGAAAACTCGTGTGTGTATATGTGTGTGTGTGTGTGTGTGTGTGTGTGTGTGTGTTATAAGGGTGTGTGAGTCTGTGTGTATCCCTTGAGTCGCACTCCAGAGGATTCTGCCCTGAGGCTGGCTCTGGGCTGGGCACTCCTCACTGTCTCTCTTCCAGTCCTCCACCTGGCCCACACGGTTCCGGTTCCAGCACAGGAAGGTGAGTGCCCAAGTCCCCCAGCACTAGCCTGGTCCAGCACCTGGACAGCAACAATGTGGAGGTCCCCGGCCTGTTTCCCTCCCACTGCCCCTGGCTTTTTCTCTGCAGCCTCCGCCTCCAGTAGCCATGCGGCATGAGGATTTTGGGTTCTCACAGCTTTGAGGATAAGGAAGTCAGGACTCCCCTTTACCCATCATCCTCATTGTGTCATCCTGTTTGTTTGCACAACCTAATTCGCCAGGTCTGTTTGCTTCACTTACTTAGAGGCCACCTTAGTCCCCCAGTCCCTGTATAGTCTACCATAGTGCAGAGGACTAAGCAGTACTAAGATAAGCACCAGGGAGTACTAAGATAAGCACCAAGGAGTACTAAGGTGAGCACTGAGGAGAACAAGGTTCTACTTCATATTGTGTCCCCTAGATCCTGTGATGTGAACCCCATGTCTATCCATGTCTCCTCTTGCTTCTTTTACCAACTGTTTGAGTGTTTAAATATAGCTGTTTCCCAGCTCTTACAGCTTACTCCTCAGGGTCCATCTCAGCTCAGCTCCCCCAGGCCACCTGGCTGTGTCTCCTCTTCCCATGGACCCTCTGCCCACTGAGGCCCCAGTCTTTGCCCACAGTGGGTTTTAACTTAGTCTCTCCCTCATTCATTGTCATTTATCAAGTCCAGGGTGGAAGCCCTTCCACCCTGCTGTCTGCATTGCCAGGAAAACTCCTACACACTCTCTGTGAGCCTCATATCATCAGCCCAGAGCTCTGATCAAGAGACCCAGCAGCTTTTGTGTGACCCTCCTGGCCAGCCCGTGTGAGGCCAGCTCCAAGGACAGCTGTCTGCCAGCTGCAGGGTCAGCTGCTCAGCTGCTTCGGCTCCTGCATCCTGCCCCCCACCTGAGGGAACTGTAGCCAGGGAGCAGCGGGCACCTCTGGGCTCCCAGGCCAGGCCTCCTGCCTGAGGTCTCTGCTCAGCTCCTTTAGGTCTCAGAACTGTGTCCTGCTGTGAGCTGTCCCTCACTGCATCCTCCTGCCCTGGGGTACAGAGCCACCTTGTGTGCAGAGCAGAACTCAGGGTCAGGCTGAGATACCCCGGCTCCCAGGTCGGGCTCACCCATCTGCAGCTCCCAGCTGGACACGGTTTGCACAGCCTCAGCCTTCACTTTCAAGCAGAGCAGAGCGGCTGAGGGTGAGGGTCCCCATGGAGGGGCCGCCCACAGGCAGCCCTCATGGAGGACTGGCGGCAGCAGGAGTGGAAGGAGGGGACCAGGAATGACAGCTTCTTGGAGCACGGTGACCCCCAGAGGAAGACAGAAAAATGGAGCTAGACCCAGTGGTCCATCGCACATGAATCAAATGCTGCTGAGCCATGAGCTTTGAGTGGTTAACTTTATGCCACCTGAAATTCACTCAGTAAAGAAACACGTGAAGGAATTTAGCTCCTCAAGAAGCCATCAACAAGCTGGGCATCATGGTGCACACCTATCATTGCAGTACCAGGGAGGCTGAGGCAGGAGGATCACAGCAAGTCCAAGGTCAGCCTGAACTATTTAGTGAGACCCTGTCTCAAAAAAGGATAAATATATAAATAGATGAATTTTATTTTACATCCATTTTATGTATAAGAACACCAAACGCTGTTTTTCATGGGGAAATGATGACCGATCAGCCACATTTTCATTCATTCATGTCCCCACAGAGAGGCGAGGAAGGGGCCCAGTGGTAACAGCCCCCTGAGCCTGCCCTGTTTCCCCAGGGGACCTCCCCGCTCCCTGCATCTCCGCAGCACCCGGGCCAGTGGTCCCCTGGAAAGCGTCCCTGAGGATCCTGTGCCAGGGGATGGCCGAGGCCTTCCTGTACCAGCTGCTGGGCCTGGAGAACTCCACGCTCACAGTGCTGAAGGAGCAGCTGGGATTTCAGTTGCAGGCGGAGTTTGTCCTCGGCAGCGTGGACGCCAGCGCTGCGGGGCAGTACTGGTGCCGCTACCGGAAAGGGCGCCAGTGGTCCAAGTGGAGCAAGGCCCTGGGACTGGTGGTGACTGGTGAGGACTTTGGGCTCCGATCCCCCTACCCCTAGGATTCCCCTTTAGTTTCTAATAGACTTTATCCTAGGGCGGTTTCGTGTGTTTAGGTTTTATTTTTTCTGGACTGTCTGTGCAGCCCATAAAGATCACTTTCATTGCGGGGCACTGGAGCAGATCCACAACAACCTCAGTTCTTGCTAGATTTACAAAAGCTTCACAGGAGCCGAGAGCGTGTCCCAGCCCGGTGCCCACGGCCGCGCTGCAGGCAGCCTGCACACCTGCCACACCTTCCCTACCATGCACCAGTCCTTCTAACTAACCTCACACCCTGCATCCCCCAGGGGCACAGTGAGCTCAGCTGTCACCTCCCCAGCTCCTCACAGCTGTCACAGCCCCTCTGACTCCACCTCGAAGCCTCGAAGGGTACAGATCATGTGTTCTCTAGTTTCCCCACTCCTAAACACTCACTCATACTTTTCTTGTGATGTGACTAGACTAAGTCATGGATCAGTGCCATGGAGTCCACAGAGGCTCCACCAATACCAGAGACTCGCACACGAGTGTGGTTCTCATGCTGAGCTAACCCTAACCCTAAAACCCTGGTGAACACAACAAAAGTTAACTACAGCTCTGTGTCAATGAAAGTGTCCTAGACTGGGTACTGTGGCCCACGCCTGTAATTCCAGATGGGGGAGGATGAGGCAGGAGGATGACGAGTTTGAGGCCAGACAGAGGTACACGGAAAGATGCTGCTTCAAAAACCCAAAAGAAAAGAAATGAAGTCGTGCTGACCACTCACTGCCTTCTCTTCCAGGCTTGTATAGCAAACCTTTCCTCTCCATGGGTCAGCACTCCATGTTGACATCAGGAGACAACGTCACCTTCCAGTGTCATTCAGCAAACACCTCATTTGATCGGTTCGCCCTGGCCAAGGAGGGAGATGCCTCCCTGCCACAGCATCAACATGAGGGACACCAAGGGAGCTTCACCCTGAGCCCCCTGAACCCCAGCTTCACAGGGAAGTACATCTGCTATGGTTGGCACAGCAGCAGCCCCCACGTGTGGTCGGCACCTAGCGAGGCCCTAGAGCTCATTATCACAGGTAGGTGCATCCCAGCACCCAGCAGTCCTGGGTCCTTATCACAGGCAAGCACAGGTCCTCCATGAGGGCTGACCCTAGATGGGGACTGGAGTGCTGCCCTGAGAATTAAGGGGAAGGCAATGCAGTCCCATCTAAGACAGAGGGCTCCTCACTCACACCACACTCATGCTCCACTTCTTTGCTGGTGTCCTCCAGGATCCTCTCAAAGCATGTGGGTTTTGCTTTTTTCCAGTAACTGGGAACAGGGCTTTGACATTGTGTTATACCCATCACTCTTCTCTGTCTATTTATCTAGCTGTCTAGCTGTCCACCCATCCACCCACTGGTTTATTTAAGTGCCTTCCTAAATCTTTAATTTGTCCAGGTTTGACTCAAACTCACAGTCCTCCTGCCTCAGCTTCCCAGAGTGCTGGAATCACAGGTGTGCACCACCACACATACAGTCTATTGAGTGAGGTGAGGCCAGCACTGAGAGTCTTCCATCATGGGTCCTTGCTGAGGCTGCAGATGCCAGACAGAAGCTCACTCATTCACCTTCACAAGCCGGGAATCCTCAGAGTAACCTGCAGGTCTAGAGTCCAGTGTGAGTGCTCACCTGGACAGAACTCTAAGGAGCAGGATCATGCGCCTGTGTCTACACTGCTCTGCTTAGAGAGAGAGGGTGAATGCATTGCAGAAGACAGAATAACTGGTGACCACACAAGGCTGCCACACTGGCCTCTCACACTCGCCTTTCCAGGGCCGCTGGCCAGGCCACGAGCTAAGCATGTGGTAGCCGCAAACCACAACATTGCAAAGTGAGCCACATGCAGTGCTGCCTGCCTCTGTCCCCAGCTGCTGGGAAGGCTGAGGCAGGAAGATCACAGATCAAGTCCAGCTAAGCAACTTGGCAAGAACCTGATTTTAAATTTTAAAAAGGCATGGTGTGTAGCTCAGGTTGGAGCATCCCTGACCAAAGAAACCATAAAAAAGTGAAAACTGTATTAATAGCACTTAGACCAAGAAAAAGGGTAAAGATATTTTAACAATTGCTGTAAATCAAGCCTGTTTGGAAAGGAAGTACTCTGTGACCATCACAGGGTTGTCCCTCAACCCAGCCACACTCTGGAATGCTCCTTCACTTCAATTTCAGTTTACATAGCCAGAGTGATAGTGCATACCTACAATCCCAGAATTCTGGGAGGCTGAGGCAGGAGGATCCTAAATTCAACCAGAGCCTCAGCAACTGAGAGAGATCCTGTTTGGAAACTAAAATGGCTAGGGATGTAGCTCAGTGCAAAGGCCTTGGGATGGATCCCTGGACTCAACACACACACACACACACACACACACACACACACACATACACACACACAAGTCATTCAGGATTTGTAACAATTTCCTGTGCTGAGTTCAGGGATCAGATTTAGTCTGAGAATTCCATGGCCCCTTCCTGCCCAGCCCCTCCCAGTGCGATCTCCCAGCTGTGGACTCCATGTCTAAACACAAAGGGTGGTGGAACCACAGCGAGCAGCACTCTGGGTGTCTGGTTTTTGTCTTGCATTTCAACCTTCAGGACAAGGCTCTTTCTGTCTGTCTGTCAGGACAAGGCTCTTTCTGTCTGTCTGTCTGTCTGTCTGCCCTTCTTTCTTTCTTAAAAAAAAAAAAAGAGGCTCCCTGGCTTGTGCCTCCTCACTGCTTCTGGAGCTTCAGTTGGAGATGCAGGCAGGAGAACGTGTTTCTAAGCAGAGGAGACCAGCTCCACTAAACGGATTAGTGGATGCTTCCATGTCTCCCCAGGAGAGCAAATTGAGACCACAATGAGTGATCAGTGCACAGTCTTGGGTTTAAACCATTAAAACCCGACCATGGTGACAGAAAGAGCACAGTGTCCACATGCAAAGCTTGGGGACTGATATACCATGAAGGGGACTCTAAAGACCACCCAGCCCAGAGCCCTGCACATGTCCCACAGCTCAGGAGTTCTAGGGTCAGGAGAGTGCAGCCCACCAGCCAGGTCCCTTTCTCACTGTCCTTCCTTCCCTCTTCTTTCTTTGCCTCCCTCATCCCTCCTTCCCTTCCTTCCCTAACCTGTCATTCTTCATTTCCTTTATCTGCCTATTTCGTGTTATCACATACTTCTTTATACAGGTACTGAGCTGACCTATGACTTATTTCTGTTTATCTTCATACAAAAAAGAATACGCCTTCCAGGCACAACGATGCTCCTTCTGCACTACTCCTGCGGAGGCTGAGGCAGGAGGATCGCAAGTTCAAGGCCAGCCTAGACAATTCAGCAAGACTGTCTCAAAATTTAAAAACTTGAAATGGCTGCAAATGTAGCTCAGAGCTTTGTGGACCCAGATAACCTGGATTTTGTTGATTTTGAGTTGCAATAACCATTCTGGTGTTGGGATAAAGGCATTTTATTCAAAGTTAGTGTCGTACTCTTCTCACTGCTGAGACAAAGTACCTGACACCTGAAGTTAGAGGAGGGAAGGATTGTTCAGCTCACAGTTTGTGGAGGTTTCAGTCACAATCAGCTGGCTCAAAGACAGGGCGGTGTCATAGAGGAGAAACAGTTCACGGTAGACAGAAGCCAGCAAAGCAACAAGGGAGAACCACACTAAGACCCCAGATGACACCAGTGAACACCAACCTCACTGTGATGGCTGCACCCAGATGTCCCCAAGCCACTTGTGGTCACAGTGGGGGCTTTTCGGAAGTGGCTGGATCTACAGTGTATGGTGCTGAGACTGACTCATTGTGCAGAACTGGGCTCAAGGGCACTAGGATGAAGGATGTGAGTGCTGCTCACACTTAGACCATCACAGTGAGGTCAACATGCACTGGCATCGTCTGGGGTGTTCTGGTCTCAGAGTCTGCCCCGAATACCACATGCTGGGGACCAGGAGCTCAGCACCAGTAGCCACCAGCTACAGCTTTAGATTTTCCCAGGGGAAGGATGGTGAGAGGATGGGAAAATAAGGGAGGAAAGCTGGGGTCAGGAGGAGCCCTCTCTCCTGATGGGAGGGAAGGAATTGCTGGACCACTGCAGCACATTTATTTATACACTCAGGAGGATACTGTCAATTTCAGCCCCGCTGCCCAGCTACTTGTCTGCCTAGAAGACCTGGGCCCCTTGCCTTCCTGGAGCTGGAACAGCTTGTTTAGGAGGCTTGTTCTGGGCCCTCTGTGTTTTCAGGGTGGGCCTTGCTTTAGCCCCACACTGGATCCATCTCCAGCTTCAATGACTCCCTACAATCACCTCCACTGCATTAGCATGGAACCAACCCCGGTTCTGTCCCCTGCAGCCTCTTCCTCCCAGGGCTCTGAGTGGCAGCTCCTTCGCAGCACCAGGGCAGCTGTGGCTGAGTATAAATGACAAGCTTGGCTGTTCACCAGTCATGTTCTATGCACACTGACCCTCAAGTGTCAGAAGTTTTTCACTGCCCTGAAAGAACAGTCTTCTTTTTGAGACAGAGTCTCACTATGTGGTCCAGGCTGGCCTCAGACTCATAGTTATCCTCCTTCTTCACTCTGGGCAGGAGTGCTGGGCAGAAGTGCTGGGACTGCAGGTGTGTACCACCATGGCTGGCAAGAATATTCTTCTTTTGAATTTTTTCACAATTTAAAAATATAAAGCACATTCTGAGGCTCTCGGACCACACAAAAGCAGACAGTGGAGCCAGCCATGTGGTATACTCCTATCCTAGCACTCAGAAGGCTGAGGCAGGAGAACTGCTAATAGGCTGGTCTGGCCCCAGGCCAGGGTTGCCAACTGCTCACTCCACAGGATTGCTGAGGACAGGTGCGCTGTAACCATGGGCCCCCAGGTGTACCAACCTGCACTCTGCTGGCCATATGTAAGTCCCTGTGGCTCCAAATGCTTCCCTTCACTGATCTGTCAGGTTTCTGGTTCATCTTGGTTTGGCTTTGAGACAGGGTCTCCTGTGAAGTCCAGGCAGCCTGGAATTCACTCTGAAGCCCAAGCTGGCTTCAAACTTATGATCCTCCTGCCTCAGCCTCTAGAGTGCTGGAATTGCAGGCTACACCACACCCAGTAAGTCGGGATTTTAATGTTTTTTTCCATCAAAAGAAGCTGATAAGATATCCCCTTCTCACTGTAATTTACTTTTCCTCCACTGACAATGAAGCACACACTGCCATGTCTGCTGAATCTGTGTTGCTTCCCTGTGAAGTGATGGTGTCTAGGTCCAGCTCAGTCTTCTGCCCTCTGTCTCTTGCTGACTTACAGAAGTTTAATTTAAATTATGATCTATTTCTCTTTATTTCTTTTTGCAGACACAGGCTTCTTTATTGTATTTCTCTTTATTTTATGAAAAATATATACCAAAAGACTAGAATAACACTGTATATCATTATCATAAAGAAGTTATTCAGAGAACAAAACATGACAAAAAAACTCACTCTTGGGGCTGGGGATTTAGCTCAGCGGCATAAGCACCTGCCTTGTAAGCAGGCAGTCGTGAGTTCGATCCCTGGTACCGATAAAAAAAAAAAAAAAAAAAAAAAAAAAAAAAAAACTCACTCTTACCAAAAAAAAAAAAAAAAAAAACAAACAGATGATACCACAAAAATGTCTTTTCCATGAACTTAACTACCTCATGGTTTCCTCATATGAGAAAAAAGGAAGTTGGAGAAACAGGAAGTAGGGAGAAGTTCAAATAATTCCCTAAATGGCTCATCCTGTTGTCTCAGAACTATCGCAATATACCCGCAAGATTTTTACCATTAGACTGCAGTTTCTCTCCGTTCACTGTTGACTGTTTCTTTGTCAGCTGTGCATGTGCTGTGAATTTTTATCACCTTCTCAGGGTATCTTCTGATGGACACACGTGTTAACATTTTAATTTGGGGAGTGCTTCCATCTCTTTCCTTAGAGAGAACAGTCACTGTGTTGGCTGTAGGAATCACCCTCACTCCCGTGTGAAAAGGACTCTTTGCTGTGTCATCTTCCCCACTTGAGTAGTCTTTGCACTTAGCTCTCTGATCTCACCCGGAACAGATGTGGGCTCTGTACATGAGCAGGAAGCCCTCAGGTCACGAAGACCTCAGGGCACCACCAGCAGAGGTCACACAGCGGGCGGAACCTTACCTAAGTTCTTCTGAACTTTCCCCCACCTCCTTCCCAGGCCCAGTAGTGCTAGATGTTTGCCACGTATGACAGCAATGGAATGTGTGACATCAGTCTAGGAAGGTACAGTAGAGAGAACTGCAGCAGGCATAGCAGTGTAGACCTGCAATCCCAGCAGCTAAAAGAGGTGGAAAAGGGAGGGTTATGAGTTCGAGTCCTACCTGGGCAATTTAGCAAAACCCATCTCAAAACTCTTTTACCAAATGAAAAGAGCTGGGAACGAAGCTTAGTGGCAGAGCATTGAGTTCAATTCCCTGAAACAACAAACAAAAAAAGTCAAGAGAATTTCGAGTTCCAGATGAGGATAGAGGGTGCAGACATAGGATCAGAGATTTGGGGAATGCACCAGTTGAAGGGGTCCAGGAACGGTGTCTCCAACCCCCAAGGGAGGCACAGGGGACCTCAGCTCTCAGAGCAGGGGCTCCATGGGTCAGAGGGGACCGCCCCTTGCTTCTGCTCTGAGTCTAGATGGGCTGAACTGACCAGCAACCACTGGTCTCTTCCCATGGTGCCAGCAGAGCCCGAGACCCGGAAACACACGGTGGAGAACGCGGTACGGCTGGGCGTGGCGGCACTGGTCCTCGCGGCGCTGGTGGCCCTGGGCGCGGACCACTGGCGCAGCCACCGCGCGGAATGCACGGAGTTTGTGGGACGTGGGGACCTGCCCGGGTCGGACTGGGGCGCCAGACAAAGAGGACCCGGACCGGGCCCTGGAGGACACAGGTGAGCTCCAGGTGCTGATGGATGCGCTCAGGAGCGGCCCAGGGGAGACCGGCGGAGCCAGAGCCCTCCAAGCCCCGGGCCCGCCTTCGGAGGACCTTTCTCCAGCCGGAGTCCTGACCTGCGGGCTGATATCCATCTGTATCTGGGTCTCGTTACAGCCCTGTGTTTTCCTCCCGGTGTTTCTTCCTTCCTAGTTTTAATGCGTCTTCACTAAATACAAATGGCTGGGAAAGGGTGGAAATGCGAGCCCTTCCCGCCTTTGCTTGCGAGGTGTCCGCTTTGTCCATCTGCACATTAAAGAGATAAACAGGCACCCGAGGGAGAGTCCTGACTCTCGGGCGCAGGCGGGAAAGCAGCGCTAATCCCGGACTGCGCAACTCCAGTGGGTCGCAGCTTCATTTTATAAAACGGAAAAGTCCTGGAGGGCGATGCTATAGCAGCACAAGGACTCTCAACCTGCACTTGTTAAGAGGGTGCGGTGCGTTTCCAAAAGCGCGAGGGAAAAGACTCGGGATGTTTGCACCACAGAGAAATGAAAGATAAGCTAGGCGTGGCTGCACACGCCTGTAGTCCCGTCACTCTGCGAGGCTGGGCAGCTCCGGCAATTTGGTGAAGTTCTGTCTCAAAATAAAAATTAACAGGGGGCTAAGGTAGCCCTTGTGAAAGCCGTGGGCCCAATCCCCAAAGGTGAAAGAAAAAGAAAGATACGGTGACTATTACAGAAGACTGCTACCTAGACGTCTCCTCCCCGAGGCGAGCCGCACCTAAGGTGACTGTGTGCCCAGCACCACGTGTGCCGTAAACAGGGACATTCTTTATGTTTTCTCACATCAGCTTAAAAATTAAATTCAACTTAAACTTACAAAGTGGTGAGGTGCGGGATTCCGGCTGCGTGTATTTATCACGATTCGTGGGCACTGCAGATGCGAAGTGGACACTTGTCCCCTGCCTAGTGCGGGAGGGACGGTGGTGACCACCTTTGAGCCCAGAAGGCCACGCTGGCGCTGGACACAAACAACCTGGACAAACAAGCTGGAAATGGGTGCTTTTGTTGCCCGATTCTACGGCACGCGAATTCTCACGCTGTGTGACACCAAGCACACTAAGGGGAAGCAGGGCCCGCACAATTCTCTGCGCCTGCGCCTCTGTGTGAATCCCTGTGGGGCGGAGCCGTCCTGTTCTCAGGGGTGGCAGCTGCGGAACTCACACATTTCCACCAGAGGGGCGGAGTGCTCCATGGTCAAGGCTTCCCCCCCGCACTCATGGGGTCCCACGTTCAATGCCCAGTACCGGAAAGAAGTGGACGATGATGTATAAGACAAAGTGGGGATGAGAAATAATTCACAAGGAAATGAGACGGGGGGGGGGGGGGGGGTCAGGACCGACAGGCTTTCCGGTGGAATCGCCAGACTGGGTGAGGCCCACACGGCAGCTCCTTTCAAAACTGCTTGGACTTTAGGGGAAAAACTAATGAACAAGTTTTGCATTTAGATACACGAAAATAATTAAGATTTTGATGTTTAAATTGTTAGACTAAAGCCATGTATTCCTGCGAGGAACAGAAAAATACATTTTATTAGCAAACAGCGTTTTACTGAAGCACGGTAACCAAGCTTTGAAGACCTCGGTGCTGCCACTCTGGTTCTGATCCAAAAAGCCCCAGTGTTTCCAGCGCCACAGAACCCAGAACCACTGCACTGAGCTCCACCCGGCCCTGATTTTATTATTCAGATGGAGACAGGATCGCCCTTATGGCTTAGCCAGAGTCTGTCCAGCAAATAAAAGAGAGAAAGCCGCAGGCACGGAGCTCGGTGGGAAGCGCTGGGTTTAATCCGCAGAACCACACACATACTCACACTCACAAGTGCATGCATGCTCACACAGTGCACACACCTGCTCACATACTCGTGGCCATATGCTCACACGTGCACACACGCTCTCACATGTGCACACACACACACACATGTGCATACACATGCATTCACATGCTCACACACGTGCACATACTCGCACTCACATTTACAGAGGAACACACACATCCACACATATGCGTTCACACATGCACACACCACATAGGCTCGCGTACACACATGCATACATGTGCACACACAATCACGCTCACATATACTCACACATGCGCACGCACATGCACGTGTGCATGTGCACACGCCATGCACACACCACACATATGCCTGCACACACACATGCACGCACACCCATGTGCGTGTGCACACTCTCACATCCACATGCACGCTCACACACACACAAAGCGAAAGGAACATCCCCGAGGCCCTGCTGTTGAAGAAATGAGACTCCCAGGAAGCCCCCACGTGGTCACCAGGCCACTTGCAGGAAGCTGCACAAACACCCCAAGCCCAGCAGAGATGCAAGGGTCCCGGGGGAGTCCCGAGCAGTCCGGGCTTCCTCCGCAGCAGCGCAGCCTCCACCCCTCCTCCGCACCCCCCCCTCCCCGCTCCGAGCTGCGTGGAGCGTGGAAGTTCACGCAGCCCGGATCCCGTCGCGGCCTCCTCTTTGGGGTCTGCGTGCTTCTCGCCTGGCCCCGCGGGCTCCAGCTTCAGCCCTCCTCCCGCCTCGACAGTCTTCAGCCAGGAGCAGTGCGAGGGCCAGCAGCACCAGGAACGCCAGGCCGAGCCTCAGGAGGTTCTGGGCACTGAGATCCAAGCCTACAAGGGGACAGTGGAGCTGAGCAGGGACCACCGCCGTTTCCACCCTTCAGGTCCCTCCCCCAACCCTTTCCCTACCCCCACCAGTGCAGCTGTGGCGGCCACCGACCTCTCAGGACTCCCAGCTCCTCAGATCCAGGGCAGTGCTCCCCAACGTGCGCTGCTGTGGGGACAGGACGCTGATGGGCGGGTGGGCATGGGCTTATCTGGCCCAAACCCCATCCCCACCTCTACCCCAACACTGTGCCCCCTCCTCCCACCTCTTCCTGCCCGGGAGGCCCCTCTCTCCCCACACCCAGCACCCAGGCTCTGCAGCTGTCCCTATCGCTGGCTCCTACGCCCCTGTTTTGGTGGCAGCCTGGACAGCGACCCCTGGCCTGGCCTCCTGTCTCCTGATTTAAGGCCTTGCCTCGGTCAGGCTCCTCTCGCTGGAGGTGGGGCCACAAGCAGCTGTCTGTCCAGCTGTACTGGACACACCCAGCCCTCACTGGACACCGGGTGGAGGCCACGCCCTCATGTCATCGGAAAGGCTTCACCCTCCCGAGAGCTCAGACCCAGCTCCTCACCTGCAGGAGTGGGGTCTGTGGGGATGAAACTGGTGTTCCCATCTCCTAGAAATGGGGTAGAATTAGGCACTGGGGTGTCTTCTGGTGTCCCTAGCTGCTCTTCACGCACACCTCTCCTTTTCCATCTCCCTATGATCTTCAAGAACCCACAGCCAATCTCTCTGTCTCTCTCCCTCTCCTGGAGACTGGACCCAGGGCCTTTGCACTCACTGAGCCCCAGCCCCAGCTATTCTCCATTTTGTAGGGACAAGATCTTGCCAAGTTGCTCAGTTGCCCAGAGTGGGCTCAAACTCACAACCCTCCTACTTCAGTCTCCCAGAGTGCTAGGATTACAGGTGCGCACAGTCATACCCAGCTGTACCAACTGGGTCTCCACGAAATGGAAGTCCCTTTGGATCTTTCCCATTCCTCACTGTCGGATTCTCTTGGGGCTCCAGGTAAAAAACAGGTCAAGGAGACTCCCCACCTCACAGTACACAGAACCAATCAGAATATGTCGGCAAGACAAATCAGAAAATTTTCACACTTTCATTTGCATATGGACACAGCCAATGAAAGACCCTGATCCCAGTCCTTCATTTATATACAGCCTGAGACCAAGCTGGTCTCCCATGGAGCGGTTTGCACAGGGCCTGGGTCATGGGACCGTTGCCCGAGGCCTCGTGAGCTCAGGGGACAGAGTCAGGAACCCTGGACACAGAGGACCTCTCCCTATGTCCTGGACCACTCTCCTCTTCCCCCTGCACTTCCTTCCCACCTGCCCTGACTGTACCTTCCTGCCTTTTCAGTGCCCTGTCCAGTGCTCTGCTCTGGGTCCCAGCCCCAGGGAGAAACCCAGGACCCTCCGCCCGGAACAGTGAGTCAAGGGCAACAGCTGCCCTCACCTTCGATCAGGAGCTCCACAGCCTTGCTGGGGAAGGACCACGCATGGCTGTTGTAGGACCCGAAGCACCTGTATGCACCCTGGTGGGCCGCGGTCACGGGGCCCAGGGGGAACTCTGCTTGCACAGGGCCCCGGCCATGCTGCACGCGGTGGGGTCTCCCCTCCTTGAGCAGGACGAACATGCTGGTCGCGATCTCCAGGCGGCAGTACAGGGTCACAGGCTCCCCAGGAGTCACCTGGGGCCCCGGATGAACCCAGAGAGTGGGGGTGTCGTACATTCCTGTGGGAAAAGGTGGATGTTGGGTGAAGGATGTCCTCTCAGGCAGCCAGTCCAGACCTGTCTCCAGTTCGCCCTGCATCAGCAGGACAGGCGGAGCAGCCAGAGCTGCGGGACACGCTGTCCCGAGATGCAGGCCCAGGAGAGGACTGCGCAACCAGCATGCGGATGGTCACCTGTCACCACCAGGTCCAGGGCATCACTGGCCTCCGACCAGCTCTCCCCACTCCGGTAGCTGCAGCTGTACTGCCCGGCCGTGCGGGAGCTCATGGCTGGAATAAGGATGTGGACTCTGTATCTCAGCCTAGGGGGCTTTGGTGTCTCCAAGGCGAAGAGGGCCCCTTCCAGATACAGCTGAAACTCCTCAGCATCTGCAGCACCCTGGCACCAGATGGTCACAGGCGTCCCCTTCTCAACCACCGCACTGGGCTCGGCCCAGATGATGGGTTTGCAGAGCGTCTCTGAGGGGGAGCAGAGTCTGAGCTCCAGGGAGCCCACCCTACCCCCCCCCAGCCGCTGCCCTGAGCCCCAGGAGACACAGCCCCGCCACCCTCCTGGATGCGGCGCCCATGGGTGGACACTGAGGCAGAACCTGATAGCGACACAGGGCTCGGCAGAAAGGACTCACGCTTCCGGGTGCTAACCTCCCAGCTCTGACACAGCCCTGGAAAACAGGTGCAGGAAATGCATTGTCCCCACTGCATGCGACCCCCACACATACCTCCCTCCCTCTGGGGACTCACCAAGGTAGAGCAGGGCAGCGAGTGCAGTCCACATGATGCCTGCTCCGCGGCTGGGCTGAGCCCTGGGCAGGACAAGGCCTGGCAGGCAGAGAGGCCAGGATGTGGTGGGCGAGGTTGGCGCCTCGGCACGGGGATTTCACACAGCGCCCTGCAGAGAGGGAAGCATCTCTGCTCACCCTGACCACAGGCCTGAGAAGACACAGGGCCCGGCAACCACCAACCGTTGCAGTTGAGCTGGGCCCCCTCCAAGCCTCACTCCTGGGTCAACCTCTAAATCCCCCACTCTGGACATCACGCTCAGGGAAGGCCCAGGGCAGTGAGCAGAGCGAAAGACCCCAGGATCCTTAGAAGTGGAGATTGGACGGCTTGGTGATGCACATTTATCTGCCTTCTGGGAGGCTGAGGCAAGAGGATTGAAAGTTTGAGCCCAATCTGGACAACTCAGCAAGATCTTGTCTCAAAATTAAAAAAATAAATTAAAAAGGCTTGGGGTGTGGCTCAGTGCAAAGTGTAACTCAGAGAAGCAATCCTCCTGCCTCAGCCTCCCAGAGAGTTGGGAGCACAGAACTCTATCACTCTGGAATGGGAATTGAACCCAAGGCCTGGCACAGGCTGAACAAGTTCTCTGCCGCTAAGCTACACCCCGCATTCAGACATCCTGCGCCTACACCTTCCCTTGTTCTCCAGGAAGGCGGAAGTCAGCTCAGGAGGGCAATTACTGGTGCAGCGCCCCCTCTTTGGCCTTCCCCATTCCCCGGACCTGGGGCCCCAGCTCCCCGAGACATCACCCACACAGCTGGGTTTGCTCCTGGCCCTGCTCCTGCAGGGGCCCAGGCCCTGAGCCCCACGTTATCTGGGCGATCAGCAGTGATCACGATGGAGCCTCAGCGCAGTGGACGCCTCGGCCTGCCTGTCCTCACGGCCAGGTCTCCCCTGACTTTAAGCTCCTCCCCAAGTCCTTTGTGGGTCTCCTACCTTTCTTGCTGCTCCCCAGCCCTGACACCTTGGCCTTGGTCTTCTCCGCCCTCAGGCTCTGCAGGACACGGGCTGCAGGACACAGGCTGCAGGCCCTGCTTGGCCTCTGCTTCTCCGCACCCTCGCTCCAAACTCGCTCTGCGTCCAGGACCTTGGGTTGCAGCGCAGTCGGCTTCTACCCCAGGAGAGTGTGGACTCTTGGCCTCCCTGCTGTCAGAGCCATGCCCTACAGGAGCTGCATCAGTCTGGTCCCTCCAGGGTCCTCAGGTGCTAAGGCAGCGCCAGCCACTGCGCATGGAGACACCCTGCCCATCACCTCTCAGGATCTCAATGCACTGTGGTTTGGAAAACCCAGTCCATAACGGCCTGCGTGGAACTGCTGGAAAGGCTGTGTGGTCGCCACATAGCACGTGGGTCAGGCGCATACACTATGTAGTTGTATTCCTGTCACGGTGCATGGTGGTCACTGCCTGCAGTGTCGGGGTTACCCTTCCAACACCTCAATTTGTTGTCCTTGGTGAACCCCTGCCTGTGGCTCTGGAGACCTAGGGCTCTTGCAGACTCAGAAACTGTGCTAACCACTGAGCCACCACAGTAGTGAGAAATGCCGTGATTTCTGTGACCCTGTGGGCCACTTAAAATGTCTCACAAACACACTGTCTCCATGTGTCATCTTGTACAGTCTGTGTGGCCGTTGTCTGACTTTATGATCGGCCGCTGTTGGCTCCAGCTGTGCCTCGTTTAGAAGCCTCGCTTGCCCACGGCCCTGCATGTGCGAGAAGAGCTCGGCACGCAGTGCGTGGTCCGCAGCCTCGGGCGCCTCTGGGCCCTGCGCATGGGGCCGACTATAAGAGTCCGCGTGTGACACGCTGCCCCGCCCTCCCCCCCCAGTTTGCGCCATGAGTTTCCCAGGTGCTGAGGCACTTAGGCCGCTGTCCCCCCTAGCTGCCTCTTGAGAGAACGGAGTCTGGGGGCGGGGTGTTCGGCTGGGGGCAGAGCAGAGCCTCCGCACAAAAAGGAAGCCAAAGGAAAGATTGGAGGAAAGAGGTGGAGTCCAGAGTCACAGGCTGCTCGGCACAGGCCCTGCCGGCCTCTTCCTGCCTGGCTGCAGAGTCCTCTGTGGTCTGAGAACCCCAGCACCCCGCACGTCCCCGTTTACTGTCAGCATTTCCTTCTCTACCAGCTGCAACCCACAGACACAGAAAGATCACCTCCTTCAGAGAAAGACCGTTTTCCTAACATTCCAGAATACCAATTTCAACCCCAGTCTGGGCAATTCAGCAACACAGTGAGACCTTGTACCGAAAACAACAACGACAATAATAATAATAAATAGAAGAGCTGGAGAGGTAGTTCAAGTACAAAGGCCCTGGGTTCAATTCCTAGTACCAGAAAATTTAAAAGTCAGTTTTCACATAGGAAGTCTGACCACCTTGCCGCTTGTGCTTTGTGGAATAAATGGTGTCGCTCGCTGGGGATACTTTGCTCTGCATGCAGATGGCGCACTCGGCAAGGCCTGGAGGCCTCTGACTGTGACAAAACACCCATACCAAATTCACCACGCAAACCCTCCCGAAGTGACCAGTCCTGCAGCATTCAGGGCTCACAGCTTTGTGAAAACACCGCTGCCTGCTTCTGGGTTCTTTCCAGTACCGGGTATCGAACTCAGGGCCTTCACGCTGAGCTCCCTCTGCAGCTATTTTGAGACAGGGTCTCGCTAAGTCGCCAGGCTGGAGTTGAACATGTGATCCTCCTGCTTCTGGGGTTACAGGCCTTCCAGGACTTTCCAGACTCTCCTAAAGTGAACTCCACATTCCTGGGCCATCTGCACTGGTGCCCGGGCCTCGAGGCCTCTTCTGTGGACAGCTCTGTGCTTTGGACCTCTCAGGGTGTGGGGATCAGGCTTCCTTCTGCGTGGGGCAGGTAGTGCGCATGCAGTGGGGCAGTAGCTGGGGATTCTGAGTCCTGGTTCTTGGCACTGCTCAGAGCAGGCTGGGTTATTTTTAGCTCCCTTCCTAAGAGCTTTCAAACCACTGCTCCCAGGTGGCGGGGCCATCCCCACATCCTGTGCTTCGCCTAGATAGTGGAGCTCGGGTCCCTTGATGCCACCCCTGTGGTGCCACCTACGAGAGAAGCAGAGGCTCTGCCTGCGCAGTGTGCATGCTGAACAACCGCCCAGGTCCCAGTTGTTGTCTGCTGCGCCCTCTTGCGGCGACGACCAAAACCTCTAAACCCCGGTATCAAAACAAAAAAAAAAAAAAATCTCTAAACACTGTCCAAGGTTCCGGCCCCCAAATCCCCGCTGAGAACACTGACCTAGAGCCTCCTACATCCATGCCCTTCCCAGTCCTCGAGATTTTGTCTCTGTACAAAGTGAGCTCAAGACGATCTATACACTGTACAGCCCAGTGGGCACCATGTCGGCTCCGGCCAGCTGCCCTTGGGTGTCCCCAGCCTGCTTCCTTACGATGCTAGGACAACTTAGAGAAAAACGTCAAAGTTTCGACTAGGATACATGCAAAGTTTGGAGTGTGACTCGGTGGTCACTTGCTTACCCCAGGTTCAAACCCCAGCCATTTATTTTTTAGAGACAGGGTCTCCCTAAATCGCTTGCCCAAGCTGGCTTCCAACTCACAATTCCCCTTCCTCAGCCTCCCTTGTAGCCAGGATCACAGGTTTGCACCACCACATGCACCCTCGTTAGCATCCACTCGGTGCTAGCCAGCAGCCGAGCATACTTATTTGTGCACTTGGGGCTTAGGTTGCCACACACTGGGAGTTTTGCTGTGATGTGTCTGGTGACCACTCCACAGGACCTCGTCCTCAGGCCAGGAGAGAGCAGGGATCCGGGATGAGTTATTGAACAGGAGGGCAGGTGAGGGAAGGCCCTACAGCATAAAGTGGGTGTCTCCTCAGGCCACAGCGGGTCAGCAGCATGGTGTCACATGCACAAGCAACACCAAGGCTCCCAGACTCCACGTGACCCTGAATCCACAAACCCCGGGGTCCTGCATCTGCAAGTGTGTTTCTCCTTGTGAACCCGGGAGCAGTTAAACTCTTTGCTATGGCTTTCCTCAGCCAGGCAGGGACAATGGAGCAGAGGGACCTGACTCAACTTGCTGCTGGCCAGCCCGTGAGGGAAGCAAGTCATGAGAACACAGAGACCCCTTGCTGGCTGGCTGCAGAGTGTCCTGGGAGCCAGGGCTCCACCCCTGCCTGGTGAGCTCTTTCTCCCAGCCCTGCAGGCACCTACAACCCCGCAGGGAGGGAAGCTTGTGTACACACAGCAGTGCACAACTGGCCAAAGCATCAACTGAGACCTGGGCCACCCCAGGCTGCAGCCTGGAGCAGGACCTGCTCCCTGCCTGGAGGTCTGGGCAGAGTTTGGTTGTGGGAAGTGGAGGAGTCCACGGGACTCCCCCTCCGTGCTTCTCTCTGCAGCAGACACTGGAGGAGCAGGGATCAGTTCCCCAGCTCAGCCTCAGGGCGAGAGTCATACCAAGGTCAGGGCTGCCCCAAGGTTGGAGGCTCACCCTGATGGGACCTGGAACCCAACAAAAATGGGTCCCGTCATGGAGGACCCGGGGCTGGAACCCGCCTGCTTGCAGCAGGGCACGGTGAAGGACAAGTGCCCTGGCCCCCTGGGACAGGTGTGGTAGAGAACAAGGACTTTTCTCTTTCATTTTTAATGAGGAGAAGTTTAAATAACACAATGTTAACCTTTCATTAATTTTAACCGATACATAAAAACACAAACACTGTAGGCACTCCAGAGACCCATGGTGTGGACACACATTTACATGGTAATGCACAAGCCCGGCTGAGCGCATCTTCTCCTTGGGGAAAACATCTGAAATCCGCTCTCCTAGCGTCTGAAATATGCAGCACCCTCCCCTTGCAGAGAACCACCCAGATGCCTTTGGGAGTGGACAGTTTGGTTCGGTGGCAGACAGGACATTCACAGTGGTATAGAGCCATCACCTCTGTGGAGACCCTAACACTTCCTCACCCTGAAATAAAAACCCCACTCCCTAGGCAGGCACTGCCCATTCCAGCCTCTACAGAGACCAGCGAACTTCCTGTCTCTGCATTTGCCCAGCATGGAATTCAGGACACGGTCAAGACTCCGGACTAGTTTTTCTGGCAAGATGGAAGCCGCCGTCGACTTGTTGGCTACAGAGTCCTCCCTGCATCTGTGGTTTTGCTGGCTGCAGTTTCAGGAACACATGGTCAACCTTGGTCTGAAAATATTAAGTGGGAATTCCAGAAATAAATGTGCCTGTCATCCCAACCCAGGGAAGCTGAGGCAGGGGGAGCTCAAGCCCAGTCTCAGTGACTGAGTGAGACCCTGAGTGGGCTGAAGCCCTGCACCTTCCCCACCACATCGCATCCCCCCAGGATGTGGGTCATCTCTTTTGGTGCGGGTGACACTGTCCCTTATAGCTTAGTCTCCCTCTTGGTGATCAGATCAACTGTCACAGTGTCACAGCCACAAGCAGCTCTGACCCCGAGCCTGGCCTCCAAGCACAGTAGGGTGCCTAGGGAGGCCTGGGAACATCACTGTCAGATGCAGGGCTGGGCGCCCTGCAGCTGGAGGGGCTACTGCGTGTTCTGCCTCAGCCAAGTGAAACCTGAGTGTGCCCAGCAGCTGGCCCAGGGCTGAGGACAGTTAACAGACTGTGGCTGGGGACAGGGTTGGGATAAGGACAAGGATGGGGACAGCCACGGGACAGAGAGGACCAGGGGACACGGAGGTCCTGCACGAAGGACAGAAGGAAGCCCACGGGGAGGGTGTGGAAGCTCATGAGTGGCCCTAAGGAGAGGCCCAGTGGGGTGCTAGGCCTCTTTCACCCCACAGGGACTGCATCCTTGGCCAGATGGCTGAGCAGATGCCCAAAGTCTCTTCCCCAGCCCTCGAGGTTCCTCACATTTGACACAGGCACCTTGTGTCAACTCCCTGTGCACCTACCTCTGGGACCTGACCACGCCTGGGGTGCTAACACCAGGCCCCATCCTGCTGCCCAAGAGCCCTGTGGGCTGTGGGAGTGGGGGCAGCGGCCGGTGCGCAGCTCTGACCTGGAGCGGCAGGGCTTTCTTCCAGCTGTGCTTGGCCTCCACCAGGAGCCCAGCCAGGAGGACCAGAGTCACGGCGCCCAGGCACACCCGTACCAGGTTGCCCTTGGCGTAGTGCTGGTAGGCAGAACCTGGCAGAAACACAGGAGGAGCGTGAGGCAGAGCACCCCTAGGCCACCCTGCAGGCCACCCTGGGCTGCCCACAGCTGAGCCCCTGATGGAGATTCTGGTGTCTCCTCCAGCAGGCTGCAGCTCATGCCCCACTGGGCACCCCAGCCCAGCCCCCAGGGCCACCCCCAACTGGTTCATTGCGGAGGAGGAGACAGTGAGAAGGGCACAGGGAAAGGACGATTCTTCTAACCCACTGCCCCATTTGGAACCCCACATACTGATGTCATCCTGTTACAGCTTTCCACCCCAGCACCCCAGAGTGGCAGCCCTGGGCTCCTCTACAGAGAGAAAGGGGTGAGCTTCAGGAGCTGGGATGGCTCACCTAGTGGAGGGCTGGAGCCCCTCGGGGAGACAGTGGTGTTCTCAGATGTCACTAGGAATCAGAAAGGCTCAGTGTGAACCAAGAGAGAGGCACTCCGCCTCACAGCTGGGCATGGATTCCAGGACACCGGACTCTACAGTCAGCTGCCCAGTGTGGACTCCAGGCCAGCATTGTCAGATGTGGGACTCAGCATCTCTAAGCCTACTTTCCCGTGTGTCCAGTGAAACTGATACCACTTAAATCACACCTGTGACACTGGCATACTGGGAGGCTGAGGCAGGAGGACAGAAAATTCAAGCCCAGCCTGGGCAACTTAAGGAGGAGACCTTGTCTCAAAATAAAAATAGAAAAGGGCTGAGGAGGTAGCTTAGGGCAAAAGCTCTAGGGTCAACCCCAGTGACACACACACAAAAGAAATAAAATTAAAACAACAGATAGTGAGCACCCCTCCAGTGAAAATCTGAAATCTGAAATGCTCTAAAATTTGAATTTTTTTTTTTTGAGCACCAATAGATGCCCCAAGTGAAAAATTCTACTTGACTTCACAGGCAGGGTCACAGTCAAAATGCAGATGCATTAAAAATACTGTAGGAAAGTATCTTCAGGTTGTATTATAAGGCATATAGGAAACACAAATGAATTTTTGTGTTCAGACAGGGGTTCCATCACCAAGATATCCCACCATTATATGAGAATATTCTAGAATCCAAAACATTTCTGCTAAAAAATTTTTTGAATAAAAAAATCACTTCTGCTGCCAAGCATTTCAGATAGGAATATTCAAACCGTAATCATGAGTTGCACAAAAGGCTGAACTGGCCTATGATAAACACTGGATACTTATCATCTTCTTACTCCACAAGTGTTTCCTGTGGCCCAGCTGTGTGCCTGGCTGCAGGGACTCAAGGATTCATCAGACAAAGTCCATGTGGGGTTCGCAGACAATGGGAGGAGACCAAGAAGCAGAGTGGAGTGGACACTGCTGAGGTGGGCAGCCCTCAGGACACGTGACAGGGAGAGAGGAGCCACCTGACCAGCCTGGAGCCTCAGAAGGACTTTCTTGAGGCATTGAAGCCAAGGGAAGAGGAAGTCAAGGCAGAGCGTGTGGGGCACGGGAGTCAGGAGGGGACACAATGCATCAGGAAGAGTGACAGAGTGCAGGAAGTCAGGCTACATCTTGAGGGAGGATCCTGTTGCCATGTTGGAAAGAGGCCCCTGTGGTCAGGAGCCTGGAGAAAGCCAGTATATGAGCCCCACTCAGGATCCCTGTGATACTTCCCAGGAAAAGCAAGGGAGCAGGACGCTGCAGCAGGAGGGAAGTGTGTGCAGTGGCCTGGAATAGTCAGAGGGCACACGTGTACCCTGGGCTATGAGGCTGGACCACAACTTCCACAGTGGAGAACAAAGATGCTCAGATCAGAGGGAAGTGGGGAGAGTTTGGGTGTCATCCTGAGTGCAAGGGGGAGAAGTAGTGATGGTCTTCCCATCAGAGCCTGGGATCCACCATCTCTGAAACTGACATACTTCCCAGCATGCTTCCCCATACCACCCTGGGGTCCAGTCCTGCCACTCTCACCTCAGACCAAGGGCCTCCTTGGTGAGGGGCAGGGGCCTCAGTGGGTGCATTCAAAGCCTTAGGTGACAGAGGTGTGAACCCTAGCCTTGCACTCCTTTCTGCAGAGCTTCAAGTATGGATTCCTTACCTGTTGTGGAGACTTTGTTCACGGGCAAGATGCTGTGTATCCTGGAGGATTCTGGGAATGCCAAGTAGGATGTGGTAAGAAGCAGAGTTAGTATCTTTCTCCCCAGAGGCCCTCTCTCCACATCCTTCTGAGATACCAGTGACCCCTAAAACCTCCTTCTCTGCCACTGAGTGCAGTCACTGCAGAGAGAGATTCTGCCCCCATCTCACAGGGCTGCAAAGCATCAGATCCACCCATCAGTTGATGAGCATCAGGTCCTTTCCACTTTTGTGCTGTTATGAATAATGTTGTTGTGAACATTCACACACAGGTTCTGTGAGAGTGTCACTTTCCAATTTTCCTGTGCACAAACCCAAGAGCAGAATCACTGGGTACAAGGTAACTGTTTAATTTTTGAAGGGAGCACCAGACCAGTTCTCAAAGAAGATGCACCATTGTACAACCCCATCAGGATGTAGAAGGTTCCAGTCTTTCCATATCCTCACCAGCCCTTCTGTTTTGTTGAGTTTTTTGTAATGATGGCCATTGTAGCGTCCCGGGTGATTGTCCTGGTGTGTGAATTGTATCCCAACTTAAAAAGAAGAGGTAGGCCCTCGGTCTCTGCCAGCTCTGGCAGGACAAGGTGAGGTAGTTCTGAGCTCACAGGGCCACCTCCCTCCTAGGGTCACCGGCTTAACTGGGGACTGCACATTGTGTTCACACGGTCACCATATGTTCTGAGTCCCCAAAGCCTGTACACATGCAGTCCTCAGGGAGGGTGGGGACATCACCTAGGACCCCTTCCTTGGGGAACCCTCAGGGAGAGTTAGTTTATGCTCTGCTCTCTCTAGCAGAATGGGAGCTGGGCATGGTGCATTCTCAGCTGCTTCTCTTCCTGGGGACCCACTGGGGAGCCTGGGGACCCATTAGTCTTGGGTGCTACTTAAACACAGTGTGTGGTACAAACACAGCATAGAATCCTGCTTAGCAATGGAGAGGAGCAGCTCCTGAGCAGGCAACAGTGAACACAGACCTGCAGGGAGTGCACTGAGCTGAGCAGAAAAAGGCAACCCTGAAAGGTTACACCCAGGGTGATGCATTCCTGTGATAGTCTAGAAATGCAGAATTACTAGAACAGAAAACAACTTAGCAGATGCCAGGGCTAGGGATGGAGGAGGAGGTGGGTGTGGATTAAAGGCTGGCCCAAGGGAGCCCTGGTGAGGATGAGCCATTTCGTCTGTGAGTGTGGTAGCTCACAGACCCACACATCCCGAGCTGGTGGAGAACCTGGCATGTGTCTTACACTGAGGCCGAACCCCTGACTCTACACACACAGTATGCTACCAATGTGTGTCCTGCCTTGCTGGGCAGGGCTGGTGCTCACACTGCCCTCGACTGCCACACCCCTGTACTGGTTCTTGTCATTGTGTCCCTGCCATTAGGCACGAGGTCTGAGTGCAGAGCAGGTTAGCAACACCTGGCCAAGCACCCTGTTTCCTAAAGCTTTGAGAGCTTCGGAGGGCGGGGACACTGCACAGAGCTCCATGGCAGTTCTCAGGTGGCACTAGGCAGCAGCCTCACACCAGCTGGGTGCGCCTAAAGTGAGCATTCCTGGGCTGCCCCGCCACTCTGGGAGCTCAGGAAGCAGTGCTAGAAAGAAGCCCTGGGGTTTCTGGGCCCAGCAGCTTTTCGGCCACAGACTGATGGGCTCTGCAGTCCACACACTGGTTCTGTGCCTCACACACTGTCCATTGCCTACCTGCATAGACAAATAACTGGCCTCAGCTTACCTGCCTCGGGGGAGGGCGCCTCTGTGGGTGGTGGGCTGGGGCCCCAGAGGCTGCTGGGAAATCAGAAAGCAGAGTAGTTGGGCTCTCTGTTAGCCAAGGATGCCAAGTGAAAAGCAAGGGTGCCAAGTGAAGCAGCAATTCCGTGACTCAGGGGTGTAGGATGGTGCGTTAGTAACTGTCTATTTGTGATGCCCTCTTCAAAGAGAGAAGAGATTTTTAAAACAAGATTGTGAAGGAGGTGAGTTTTAAGTTCACAACTCTTCTGAATGTTATGGTGCACACCTGTCATCCCAGCACTCTGGGAGGTTGGGGCAGGAAGGTGGCAAGTTGGAGCCCAGCCTGAGCAACCTAGTGACTTGGCAAGACCCTGTTTCAAACTAAAAACAAAACAAACAAACAAAAATCAGGAAAAGTAGCTCAGTGCAAAGACCTTGTGCTCAAACCCCAGTACCACAATAAGATAAAGATAAAAGAGGCAGAAGGGAGAAAAACAAGAAAGATTCTATGTGCCTCTGTCCCTAGATAGCAGAATCTCCCTCAACTTACCTGTCACAGAAGAGGGCACCTCAGTGGGCAACCAGCTGGGGTTTGCAGAGGCTCCTGGGGAATCAGAAGGGAGAGAAGTCAGATGCCCTATTTGCAGAGGATCCTGAGCAAATATTGAATCAGTTCTATGATTCAGCTTCTCTGCAGAGAAAATGGTGTTGAGAATCTCACATCACCAAATGGCGGCACAGCGATGCCTTCCCTGGTGAGCCCCAGAGCTCTGCTACCTGCCTCCTCTCTGTATCCCTGGCAACAAGCTGGGCTCATATCTCCTGGAAAGTGGAGGTGAAGATGGGTACCATGCCACAAGCTCAGGAGAGAGGCGAGAATTTGAGTGTGGTGAGAGAGACACAGTGAGGACATAATCACAGTCCTTTCCTCCACTCACCCACTCATGACATCTCACCACTGCAGCCCACTGTTGCCATGTGATGTGTTTATTTCCCTTTCCCTAGCAAACTGAATAATTAATTTTTACTCTGATGGTGTTACTCCTCAGGTATCACTAAGAAATATTAAAGCACAGATTTCCAATCATTCATGGCGGCTAGAAGCTTGGAGAAGGGATAGCTTCGGGCTTTACACTAGGCAACCGTGTGTTACTAGACTGTTACAAATGTCACTTGGATTAGGAAGAATGTGAATTGGGCAGGCTGCTGCCCCAGGACCTCCAGGAAGCGCCCCATATGGCTGGCTGTGACCTTGGGAGTGTGTGGGGCAGCAGGGTCCATCACACTCATGCTGCTACAGAGTTTCAGAACTTTCTCCTCTCGAGCAACAAACACTCGGCACTCATAAACACTAATTCCTACTCTGCTCATCCTGAACCTCATACACCTTCTGTCTGTAAAATCTTAACTACACCACCTGCCTCACGGGAGGGGAGACAGGCAGCTTTTGTGCTTTTGTGACTCAAGTATTTTACCTCGAGGTTCGCCTGTCAGAATTCCCCTTTTTAAGGCTGAATTGTGTTCCTTTGCAGATATAGAATACAATTTTCTTTAGCAAGTACACTGTCTTCTTTGGAAAGAAACCCTCTTTTAAAATGATAACTATGATTACTAATAACATATACCTCAAATTGCTTAGAAAATAGATTTAAATGTTCTGTTTTTTTAAATGATGTGTGAAACCAGGCTGGGTGTGCCCGCCTGTAATCTCAGCAGTCAGGGAGGTGGAGGCCAGAAAAAGACAAGTTCGAGTCCCAGGGAAATTTAGCAAGACCCTTCTGGACATTTAAAAAGCAAAACACAAAGACCTGGGGCTGTAGCTTGGTGACAGAACGCTCCTAGGTTTGACCCTTAGTACAGCAATGCATAAAGCTAGGTGAGGAGGTATCAGAAAGGTTAATTAGCTTGGTATAAGGGTTCCACAGTATATCACACATTAAAATATCACATTATAAGCATATACAGTCACCTGCAAAGTAAAAGTGCAAAAATTTAAACAACAACAAAAAAGGAAGGTTGCTGCATGCCACACAGTGCTTAGTGAAAGAAAGTAGTTAGGAAAGACCTCCACCCAAATAAAACATCCGGAAAAGGTAAACTCACTGGGGAAGGGGGAGGTAAATCCCGGTTACCAGATGGGAGCGTGCATGCACTCCGCTGGGTCCATGTAGTGGACGCAAGCTAGTTTGCACCATGGCGATTGCAGGATGCCATGAATTCAGTGAAAACTGCGAATTGGGCGCTTAAAATGGGTGAACTTTGAAATATATGAAGAAAGCTCAATAAAGCTGTTTTCCAAGAGCGTGTGAGAAGACAGTGTTAAGTGATCTCGTTAGCTACACTTGAATGAAAATAAGCTAAATACAAGCACGTTTTCACTTAATCCTGCGCTAATTTTTAAATCAACTGACAACTCAGACCCGGTGGTACATACCTGTGAACCCAGCACTCTGGGAGGCTGAGGCAGGAGGATCACAACTTCAAGATCAGCCTCGGCAAGTCAATAACTAGGGAGACTCACCTCAAAATAAAAATTAAAAGATCTGGGAGTGCAGATCATTGTGAGGCCCTGAGTTCAGTGCCAGGATCCCAGTCAACTGACAACTGCAAGGAGGTGAATTTTCCCAGGGCTAATAGAATTGTTAGCCGTCTGTGTTATCAAAATATTTTAAGAAAATTGGCTGGCTTCCAGCTCTTATGAAAGAACGAGACCCTAAAAGTATAGTGAGTGTGAAACACCGATGCCGGGTCTTAAATTGAAGTAAAGGCCTTAGCCGCAAGCTTTTTCATCCACGTAACTTTCCCCTAGAGTGTCAAAAAGCCCATGGTCCATACACACACTATGGAAGGAGGAGTCATTTTACAGTTCGCTTCCTGCCATGATAGCAATTCTCTTCGCTAATTTCTGCAGATTTTGTTTTTTGGGCTTTTGGGGGTTTTTTGTCGTTGTTTTGTTTTGCTGTTGCTTGTTTAAGATTTGAACCCAGCCCAGAACTGAGACATTATATTGTTTTCCTTAGTGCTTGTTCCCTGTAGAAGACAGAATAATGCCTCCCAGATGCCCCCAGAAAACCAAAGCTAGAAATCCATTTGACCCAGCTATTCCCCTTCTGGGGGTCTTTCTCAAAAGAGTTAAGGACAGCGTTTTATGGTGATAGATGTACTATGTCTATAACAACACAGTTCATCATAGCTAGATCTTAGCAGAGGATATAAGTCCACCAGAGCTTGACTAGGTGGTGAAAACATGGTATTTGCACACTAGGAAGTACAACTATGCCATAAAAAAGGATAAACCAGAGTCATTCATGGGATGTACCTTGAGATCACCATGCTAAGGGAAGTAAGCCAACTACAGAAGCTTGAACACTGCATGGGCTTCTTCTATGAGAAACCCAAGATGTAAATAAGTTAAAAAGTGAAATAAAGGATCCATAACAGGAAGCGGGCAGGTAGAGCTTTTCCAAAAGGGGAGGGGCCAAGTGACGAAAGGAGGGTGAGGGAAAGGGGGGAAGGCACCTAGGAAGAAGGAAGATTGTTGATTGAGGACACACCCCAACTGCCTGCAAGGAGTGTAGTCATTATGCACTGTGAGTGTGGAGTACTAGAAAGGAGGAGGAGGAGGAGGGCAAAAAGGAGAAGGAATGGGAGGAAGAGAGGAGGGGAGGAGACCTCCAAGAGGCCCCTGTGCACTAATCCCAAACCCAAGTCAGTTGTATGGCAGAAGGGACTCTGCAGCTGACCGCGCTGAGGGGCTTAGCCAAGGGCGGCCCTGGGTCACCCAGGGTATGCGAAGCATCTCAGAGGCCTCCTAAGTGGGAGGGGGAGGGGAGGCAGCAGAACCTGAAGACCCTGGTGGCTCCTTGGACACAGAGGAAAGGGCCCCAGCCGAGGCCTGGGGGCCTCCAGGGCTGGATAAACCCTGAAAGGGAGTCCCCTCCCTGGCACGCCCCCCGGAAGGAACCCAGTGGGCTGCCACATTGGTATCCAGGGAGGCCCTTCAGATCACCCTTGCACCACCACCACCACCCCACTCCCCGCCCCAGACCTTTGCGCTGAGCTACATCCCACCCCGTTCTTGCTTTTTATTTTAGTAGCAGGTCTCACTGAGTTACCCAGGCAGGCTCCAAGTCACCATCCACCTGCCTCAGCCTCCCAGAGTTCTGGGGTTACAGAGTGCACCACCAGGCTGCTCCCCTCAAACGCCTGCGCTGCAGATGGTTTGTGCAGCAGAATTAGGACCCACACACCTCCCCAGCTTACCCTCCTGCCCTCCTTCCCCCGGGGGGCTGAGGGGGGGGCGCCTGAGGACTGAGGAAGGAAGGCAGGGCTGATCCCTCACCGGAGACGGAGAGCTCCAGAGGGTTGCTGGGGGCTGACCACAGGTGGGGCGACCCACTGGAGAAGCTGTAGCAGCGGTAGGTCCCGCTGTGGGCGGGGGTCACTGTGACCATGGGGAAGTCGGCCCGGTACCACTGCTCCGGCTGCATGTGGGGCCCGGCGTCCCCCTCCTTGTAGAGAGCAAATCCATCGAAGTTGTACTGGGTGTGACACCTCAGAGTCACGTCGTCCCCTGGGGCCACAGCCGAGCTGGGGTGCGCTGACAGCGAAGGCTTCCTGTAGACCCCTGGGAGGAGAGGACTGGGCCTTAGCCTTGGCAGGGGCAGTGTTCCCAGCCTGGGGCAGCAGTGTCTCCACTCCCCACAGCTCCTCTCTAACCTCGAGGAGAGGCCAGGCCAGGGCAAAGCTGGCGCTGCCATTAAGGGGTCCTGTGTCCCCTGCCCCTGCTGATAGGTGGGAGTGACGGGGAGATGAGCTGCCCCAGGCCCCTCTGCATGACCGTGTCCAGGACTGCCAGAGCCACCTGAGTCCGATCGCATCAGCTTGTTGAACCTCGCAAAGAGCATGAACTCGAGGCCACTGAAGTCCCAGTCCTATGACTGAAACCACCCTAAGAATTAAGTAACTCATCCAACTACAGGTAAAATAACTCAGTCCCCCTGAAATCTACCACGAGTGTGAACCCCATGTGATGGCCTAGGAGCTTTTGCACTGGGGGTTAAACCTGCTCTCCTTCCTCCTGAGCTACATCCCTGCCTCCCACCCCACACTTTTGTTTGAGGCAGGGTCTGGTTTTATAGTCCAGGCTGGGTTGAACTCACTACATAGTCCCCCTGCCTTTGAACTTGCAGCAGTCCTCCTGCCTCAGCCCCCCGAGTGTTGGGACTCCAGGTGAGTGCCACCTCATCCAGCCCAATTTTTTTTTTAATTTCTTAAGGAACTACTATGTGTCTGCTTCTGCTCTGACAAATAAAAACTCCATCAGATACAACAAATTTTAAAAAGCATGACTAAATTACATAGATAAATATGGGGCCTCTGAGATTGTAATGAGTAGTATTTAAAAATCAGTGCCCAGGGTCTGGGGGTTTAGCTCAGCGGCATAAGCACCTGCCTTGCAAAGGTGTGGTCATGAGTTCAATCCCCGGTACCGATAAAAAAATAATCAATACCCAGTTTTAAATAGGGTGTAGGGGACACATTGAGAAGACAGCATGATAGGCCTGCAGAGGAGGAGCTGGGCAGATCTGGGGTGCCCTCACCAGCCTCTCTGCGTGTCTGGAGGACTCTGGATATCTGCACCCAGACTGCTGGAGTTCCCTCAGGCTTCCAGGTGCAGTGAAGGAGAGAGGTGGGTTTGAGGCTTCCACATCAGCCTCCCCATTCCCGGCTTCACTTGGAGACCTGCTGAGCTCCCCATAGGTGGGCTGGCCCACACTACCAGCCTAGCCCAGCCTGTTTAGCTGCCGGGCCTGGCCATAGGCCTGCAGAGGAGGAGCTGGGCAGATCTGGGGTGCCCTCACCGGCCTCTCTGCGTGTCTGGAGGACTCTGGATATCCGCACCCAGACTGCTGGAGTTCCCTCAGGCTTCCAGGTGCAGTGAAGGGGAGAGGTGGGTTTGAGGCTTCCACATCAGCCTCCCCATTCCCGGCTTCACTTGGAGACCTGCTGAGCTCCCCATAGGTGGGCTGGCCCACACTACCAGCCTAGCCCAGCCTGTTTAGCTGCCGCGCCTGGCCATTGGTCTGCAGAGGAAGAGCTGGGCAGATTTGGGGTGCCTGCATCGGCCTCTCCATGTGTCTGGAGGACTGTGGATATCTCTGCAACCAGGGAGGGTCCACAGGTTCCTGAGGCACTGCGGCCTGTGGTGAGTACCCTAACCCGGCTGCGATTGAAGAACTGTGGAGCTTCCAAGGGGCAGGTGGGCGCACAGTGTCCCTGAGGCCCAGCTTGTCTGGAACTGCGGAGTTCTGAGCAGGCAGAGGAGGGCCACTGGTTCTGTAGGCCTAATGGCTTGGGGTAGCGTGGCGCCAGAGTCTCAGTAGCTCCAAACAAAGAAGGAGATTTTCAACAGATCCTGAGGAAGCTTTCAAATAACACTTGAAACACAGAAATATAGGAAAATGACAAAACGAAAGACAAAATTACAACCTCAAACCTCCAGCCCATCTCAAGAAACCCTAGGAGAGATGTATATAGAAGAAAATATATCCCATCCACCTCATATATCGGACACAATAGCCACTGAAATTGACAAGCAAATCCAGGAAGCTTTAAAGAAATTCAAACTCGAAATAATATCCCAGATAAAAGAAGAAATGATAAAAGAAATGAAAGAGATTCTAAATATATCTAAAGAAAACACAGATAAAAAATTGGAGGAACTAAACAAAAAGATAGAATCCCTAGACGAGCAATATAAGAAACAAACAGAATACATAATGCAGATGCACAGAGATATACAGGAAATAAAAAACTCCACTGAAAGTTGTAAAAACCGCCTTAATGAAAGTGAAGATAGAATTTCAGACCTTGAAGACAGGATTGCAGCTAGTGAACAGGAAAGGAAAGATCTTTTGAAAATAACAAGGAACCAGGAAACAACAATTCAACAACTGCAAGACGATGCAAAGAAGAATAACATAAGAATGATAGGGATTAATGAAAGAGAGGGAGACAATATGAAGGATGTCAGGAGGATATTTAGAGAAGTAATAGCTGAAAATTTCCCAAGCATGAGATCAGAAACTGACATCAGGATCAGTGAAGCATATAGAACTCCAAACACTCATAACCAAAATAAAACTACACCCAGACATATAATAATCACCATCCCAGAAATCCAACACAAGAATAGATTATTAAAAGCTGTCAGAGAGAAAAGACAAATCACTTATAAAGGAAAACCTATCAGAATCACAGCAGACTTCTCAGCACAAACGATAAAGTCAAGAAGAGCATGGAGCGAAGTATTCCAGATCCTAAAGCAAAATGATTTCCAACCAAGACTGATATATCCTGCAAAACTATCATTCAAAATAGATGGTGCAATACGATACTTCCATGACAAAGAACAGCTGAAGAACTTCATGAACACCAAACCAACCCTGCAAAAAATATTGAAACACAGTTTAGATACACAAAGGAAAAAAGCACTAAGCATAGCAAATAATTAAACAGAACAGAAAGATAAAGATGCAACAGCAGAGAGATAACATTCCTACAATTAACCAGCATTTAACAGTAATAACCATTAATGTAAATGGTCTCAATGCACCAATCAAAAGAAACAGACTAGCAGAATGGATCAAGAAACAAAATCCAACCATATGCTGTTTACAGGAAACCCATCCAACCCAGAAAGATACTCACAGAATGAAAGTCAAAGGATGGAAAACAATTCTTCATGCAGCAGGAATCCAAAAAAAGGCAGGAGTAGCCATTCTGTTTGCAGACAACGTGAACTTTAAACCAACAATGACCATAAAGGATAAAGAAGGTCACTACATACTCGTAAGGGGAAAACTCCAAGAGGAAGAGATAACTATCTTAAATATATACGCACCAAACTCCAGAGCACCCAGTTATATAAAACAATTATTAACAGAAATGAAAACTCAAATTATCAGTAACACAATTGTAACAGGAGACCTTAATACACCACTGACACCAAGGGACAGATCAACCAGACAGAAAATGAGCAAAGAAATAACAGAACTGAATCACACCTGTGAACAAATGGGTTTGATAGACATATACAGAATGTTCCACCCAATAACATCAGAATACACATTCCTCTCAGCAGTACATGGATCATTTTCTAAAATAGACCATATATTAGCTCACAGAACATATTTAAGCAAATGCAAAAGAGTTGAAATCATCCCTTGCATATTATCGGATCATAGCGCTCTGAAATTAGAAATTAATGACAAAGGATACTGCAAAAATTCCGCAAACACATGGAAACTAAATAACACACTCTTGAGTAATCAGTGGGTCACAGAAGAAATTAAAGAAGAAATTAAACAATACCTAAAAGAAAATGAAAATGCAGATACAACTTACCGGAATCTGTGGGATGCAATGAAAGCCGTTCTGAGAGGAAAATTTATTGCACTGAGTTCCCACATCAGGAAAACAGAATGAATACAAATAAATAACTTGATGCTACACCTCAAACAGCTAGAAAAAGAAGAGCAAGTCAAGCCCAAAGCCAAAAGAAGAGAGGAAATTATAAAAATCAGAGCAGAAATCAATGCAATAGAGACTAAGAAAACAATCCAAAGAATCAACGAATCAAAGAGTTGGTTCTTTGAAAGAATAAATAAAATCGATAAGCCCCTAGCCAACCTTATTAAAAAAAGGAAAGAAAAAGCTCAAATTCATGCAATAAGAAATGAAAAAGGAGAAATCACTACAGACCCAATAGAAATACAGAGGATCATCAACACCTATTTCGAAAACCTCTACTCTCAAAAGTTTGATAACACAGAAGAAATAGACAGATTCTTAGAAGCATATGAAGTACCAAAGCTAGATCAAGAGGATATAAAACTGTTGAATAACCCAATCTCTGCTAATGAAATTGAGAATGTAATTGGGTCCTTGCCCACCAAGAAGAGCCCAGGCCCAGATGGATTCACTGCAGAATTCTACAAGAAATATAAAGAAGACCTAATGCCGACACTCCTCAAACTATTCAATGAAATTGAAAGGGAAGCAATCCTTCCTAAGTCATTCCTGGAAGCAAATATTACTCTAGTACCAAAACCTGAGAAAGACCCAACTACAAAAGAGACCTATAGACCGATCTCCCTAATGAACACAGATGCAAAAATCCTCAATAAAATATTGGCAAATAGGATCCAGCAAGTCATCAAGAAGATTATACACCATGACCAAGTGGGATTCATCCCAGGAATGCAAGGATGGTTCAACATACACAAATCAATAAATGTAATCCACCATATCAATAAAGCCAAAAATAAGAATCACATGATCATCTCTATAGATGCAGAAAAAGCCTTCGATAAGGTCCAACACTTATTCATGATAAGAACTTCACAGAAAATTGGAATAAATGGTCTTTACCTCAATATAATAAAGGCCATTTATGACAAACCAACAGCCAGCATCATACTAAATGGCCAAAAATTGAAAGCCTTTACTTTAAAATTGGGTACAAGACAAGGATGTCCTTTATCACCACTCCTATTTAATATAGTACTGGAAGTACTAGCCAGAGCAATTAGGCAAGAAAGAGAAATAAAAGGGGTAAAGATAGGAAAAGAAGAAGTTAAATTATCATTGTTTGCAGATGACATGATACTCTACATAGAAGACCCCCTAAACTCCACTGAAATACTCTTAGATACAATAAATAAATTCAGTAATGTGGCTGGATACAAAATCAATACTCAGAAATCAATAGCATTCCTATACACGAACAACAAAATTACAGAGAGGGAAATAAGAGAAACTGGACTATTCACACTAGCAAGCAAAAAAATGAAATATTTAGGAATTACTCTTACGAAAGAAGTGAAAGACTTATACAGTGAAAATTATAATACACTGAAAAAGGAAATTGAAGATGATCTCAGAAAATGGAAAGACATCCCTTGCTCATGGATAGGAAGAACAAACATTGTGAAAATGGCCATTCTCCCAAAACTGTTATACAGATTCAATGCAATCCCAATAGAAATACCATCAACATACCTTATAGATCTAGAGAAATCACTCCTAAATTTCATCTGGAACCAGAAGAGACCTAGAATCGCAAAGGCAATTCTAAGCAGCAAAGACAAAGCAGGAGACATCACAATCCCTGACTTGAAGTTATACTACAAAGCAACAGTAGTAAAATCAACATGGTATTGGAATCAAAACAGAGCTGAAGATCAGTGGAATAGATTAGAAGATACAACCACAACTACAAACACACTCAACCACCTTATTTTTGATAAAGGAGCCAAGCAGGTTCACTGGAAGAACGACAGTCTCTTTAATAAATGGTGCTGGAAAAACTGGCTCTCCATTTGCCGAAAACTAAAGCTAGACCCATGTCTATCACCATGTACTAAATTAAAATCTAAATGGGTCAAAGATCTGAATATTAAAACAGAAACACTAAATCTATTGGAAGACAAAATAGGTAGAAACCTTGGAGACATAGGAGTAGGTAAAGAATTCATGAACAGGACTCAAACCGCACGGGAAATACTTCCCAGAATCAATAACTGGGACCACTTCTTATTAAAAAGTTTCTGCATGTCAAAAGAAATCTCCAGCATAGTGAAAAGAAAACCCACAAACTGGGAGAAGATTTGAGTGAACTCTCTCTCAGACAAGGGTCTCTTGTCTAAAACATATAAAGAATTAAAGAAACTCAGACCTCCGAAATTCAAAGATCCAATCCAAAAATGGGCATCTGAGATGAATATGCAATTCTCAGATGAAGAAATGCAAATGGCAAATAAATACATGAAAAAATGCTCATCATCATTGGTCATTAGAGAAATGCAAATTAAAACCACACTGAGATACCATCTCACTCCTGAAAGAATGGCCAGGATCAAGAAAACCGACAACAAATGCTGGAGAGGCTGTGGGGAAAAAGGAACTCTCCTGCACTGCTGGTGGGAGTGTAGACTGGTACAGCCTTTGTGGAGATCTGTCTGGAGATTTCTCAAAAAGTTGGGAATGGAAATCCCATTTATTCCAGCTATTCCACTTCTAGGCATATTCCCAGAAGAACTGAAAGCATCATACCACAGTGATATATGTGCACCTATGTTTATAGCAGCACAATTTGTAATCGCCAGATCTTGGAAACAACCCAAGTGCCCATCAACTGAGGAATGGATAAAAAAGTTGTGGTATTTCTATACAATGGAGTATTATTCAGCTATAAAGAAGGATCACATTGAGATATTTATCAATAAATGGGCGCAGCTTGAGACCATACTCATTAGTGAAATAAATCAATCTCGCATGTGTGAATACCGAATAGTTTCCCTAATGTAAATAATGATTCAAATATATAAAAATATGTGGTAATCATGATTCCCCATTAGGTGGCCTTGAAGCCTTATAAAGTTTTCTTTCATTAATTAGAAAGGCTTTATTCTGGGCTTCTTGATATGAAAATATTTGAAGCTAGAGTATATGAAGTTTTATCCAAATATTTCAAGGAAAAAGACACTATGGTAACTACTATTAAGTCAGGTTATAAGGTGGTGAAGTACTAGGTTGTTGAAACAGTCATGCTGTGACCTCTATTGTTATATTGTTATGTCCTGTTTTATCTCAATCTCCCCCTTATTGTTTCAAAAAAAATTATTTAGTCATTTCTTATGTTTGTCTTAATTAAAGAAAAAATTCAAAAAAATTAGGATATATAAATAGTAACTCTTTTCAATTTCCTATTAACTTGTTTTGAAGTCCTGTAGTACTCCCACGATCTTGTTTTGACTGATTAGACTCTGTTCCATTCTATATGATAGTATCAAGTTTGAAGAAATAGGCAACTACTTTGAAGACAATAAGATTCACTAAGATACCCATTCTGGTTTGACTATTGTCTTCTTTGGAAGTCCTGTAATGTTTACAATGCCTAAGTTCTATTGGTCTTGTTCTCTACTGTTTTGTCCAACTTTATAATATCTAATAAGATAGACAATTCTTTTTAAGGAAACAAGGGACAACGTTGATAACCATTGTTGATAAACTTGTACTCTGTTCTACACCATGTGCTATGTCTATCCTTGGTATTGACTGACAGCTTTGTTTTGCCATATTTGACTGTATTCTTCCCCCCCCCAAAGAAAGTAATAAGCACTAAGGAGTAATAAAATCCAAGATGTGTAAATTTTGTTGTAAAAAAGAGAGGGAAAAAAAAAAAGAAAAAGAGCTCTAACGGATATAACAGCAAGTGTGTTTGGGGGTGTTAAATAGCTGACTTTATCAATGTTTTTGGAACATTGAACACAGCTGTTTGCAGTCTCCCTATTTGAATGTCCACCTTGTGTTCTTTGATACTGTGATTTGAGGAACTATTTTCAAGAAGATAGTGTGTAATCTACTAGCAGGTGATTTCTTACTGTTATGTTTTTTTGTTTTGTTTTGTTTTGTTTTGTTTTGTTTTGTTTTGTTTTGTAGTTCTGTATTGCGTGTACCCTTACGCCGCTTTGGTTTGTTTTGTGTTTTTCTCTTTTTCCTCTTAAATTAAAAAAAAAAAAAAAAAAAAAGAAGACAGCATTTGGGTCGGACTCCAAAGCAGACTGGAGGAGGCCAGGACAGCAGAGCATGGAGCCCAGGAGAGGCAGCAGGCACAAGGCCAGGAGACCTCTGTGGTTACCAGGGTGACAGCTAGGGGCGGGGAGTGGATGCCATCCTAGGATGCAGAGCTAAATTTCTCCAGGTGATTAATATGATATAAAATTACTAAAAACATATAAAAGCAGATCTTTAAAATTACATCTTTCCAAATTCATCTATTTTACGTACACCTCTTCCCTTCTCAAAAATATCCAGTATCACTTTAATGGCAGGGTTTCATGGAAGCAAACCCAAAAGTGACACTTTCAAAGTCTACCTCTGGGAACTAGCCATTGTAACATACATTGAGCTCAGGCAAAGTGTCGCCCCAGCATTCTAGGAGGCTGAGGCAGGAGAACTGCAAATTTGAGCTTGGCCTGGACAACTTGGCTACTTAGGAAGAGGCAAGGGGTCTCAAAATTAAAGAAAAAAATGAAAAAATAAAGGCCCAGAAATATACACCAATGTGAAGTGCTGAGTTCAATCCCCAAGACCACAATAATAAATGAAAATAAAATTAAAATACACTGGACTGTGGCTAGAAGGGCCTCATATTTCCTTTGGCCTCTGGCTCTGGCGGGCTTGGCCTGGACATCGCTGGCTCTTGTCTTTCCCTGGAATTGTGATATTTTGTTCCCCGTGGACATTTTTGCGTGGATCTTGATGTCTCAGCAAAATGTGTGCAGATGTCACGGCATTGATTTGTGAGTGTCTAACTTTCACCCATGAGGCAGGAGCCTCCCCTAAACCCCAGCTCTGTAAGATTTGGAGTCCCTTCCTAACCCTAGCCCCTTGGATTGGGGATTTGCCAACACCCACATCCCGCAGTCCCTCTCTCTAAACACAGAAATGAGGACCCCACAGGTGGGCTCAGGGCCACCCTGCTACACCCCACCATTACCTGTGGCGATCAGCTCCAAGTGGTCACTGGCCGGAGACCAGCGCGAACCGTTCTGGTAGGAGCAGCGGTAGCGTCCTGCGTGGCTTGTCCGCATGGCTGGGATGACTAGCATGGCCTGGTCCTCGTACTTCCTGGTGTCCAGCTTCTCCAGCCGGTACAGGTCCATGCCTGGGGGCCCCTGGCAGCGAATGGTCACCGGCTTATGCAGGGGCACCAGGGAGCTAGGCAGAGCCTGCAGAGAGGGCTTGGGGAGGTGCCCTGGAAGGAAGCAGGGCAGGGGTCACCAGGAGCCTGAGGACCTGGGGCAGGGCCTGGGGCTGACCCAGGGGAGGGACACGCAGCTCCTCAAGGACTTACCATGATGCACACATGCCGCCTGCACCAGACACAGGCCTGGGGAGAGAAGAGGAGAGCAGGCACTAAGACCGAGCCTCCCTAACCCACATGGGTTACAGGTGGAAGAAGCCAGCTCACAAAAGGCCACAGCACTGTGATCCATAGGACTTACCTGGAATGGGCAGCTCCCCAGGCTCGGGGTGCCCTCCTCCCGGGTGGGGAAAGTGTGCTGGGCCCCACCAGGACTGAGCCAGGGAATGCCAGGAACAGAAGTGACCCGTGTGCTTCTGTTTGCTTTCTCTGTAACACTGGGGGTGGATCCCAGGGCCCTGTGCATGGCAGGGCAGCCCCACCACCAAGCCATCCTTTCAGCCCTAAAAATACGTTTAAAGGCAACATATCTTCCCAGACAGCTGCTTCCTCAGTCCTCCCACACACACTCTGGACTAGATTAGTCTTCCCTCTGCATCTTTATCTCTATGGATTGTAAAATGCATGGATGCTGTGGTTTGTGTCTTGTTTTGTCTCTTGTTTTTGCTTTGTGAGACAGCCTTTCCCTATGTAGTTCAGGCTGGCCTCAAACTCACAGCGACCTTCCCGTCTCAGCCTCCAGAGTGTGTATGTGTGTGTGTGTGTGTGTGTGTGTGTGACACCTTGCCTGACTGCCGCTGCCGTGTGCTGATTTATTTGTTTTAAACACTGCACACTGACTGCCATGGTGGGGTGAGGATGTGGATTGCTGCGTACAGATTTCTGAAGCACCGTAACCCCTCTGCTCAGGTCCTGCTCTATACAGTCCAGGAGAAGGAGAAAGTGCCCCGGCCATGGTTCTGCAGCTGGTAGGCAATGGATTCCAACACCAGCAGCACAGTTTAGTGATGCAGAAGGTGGGCTCGTGGCCTCAGAGAAGCAGCGTAGAACTGTGGTGAACTGAGCATAGGGAGGCACCAGTCAAAGGGTGTAGAATTCCAGCTGCACCGGAGGAGTAAACTGGAGTGCTCTATGGTACCCTATGGTGACCACAGTTCAGAGCAATATTCTGTATTCTTTCTTGGGAAGGAAGTGAGACAGGGTCATCCTGTCTTAGCCTCCCAAGTACTCCGATGACAGGCATGTCTGGCTCAACAATGTGTTATAGTCCTCAAAATGACTGAGCAAATTTAAAATGTTCTCACTGTTTAAAAAGAATTAAAGTGAGAGGGCCTGGATAGGTTACCCAGCTTGCTTTAGGCACCCTGCACTGTACACATGCATTAAAACACCACGCTGTACACTGTCAATTACACAATTTGTATCCATCAACTTTAAAAAGAGATGACCAGCCGTCTCCTCTCCAAAGTAACAGCAAAAAGATAAAGATGTATTTTCAAGTGTGGAGTTGCTGGCAAAATTCTTTAGCTTGTACCTGAGTCCTTGATGTGTGACGTGCGGCTTAACCGCTCTCCATCTACGTTTTCCTATCTGTGAAATGGGGATAATTACAGACACCATCTCATCACACAGTTGGAAATTGAGCTGACTTTTTTGTGGTTCTGAGGATCCATCCCAGTATCAGCCAGGGTCGTTCCAATCCAGGGGAGCTGCCACTGAGCTGCATCCCCTGCCCTTTTTACGCTGTAATTTGAGACATAGTCTTGCTAAGTTGTCCAGGTTGGAACTGAACTTATCATCCTCCTGCCTCAGCCTCCCGCAGTGCTGGGGTCACAGGCAAGGGTCATCACACCTGGCTCGTGGGAGGCACTTTTTGGCTCCATTGTAACAGGGGATAGTGACAGACTTGCGAACTAGTCCTGAGATCATTGAGCCCACATGAAAGTGAAAGCAAGGAAGAAAGCAACCATGACACAGAAGGGAAACATCAAACTGGCACAAGGACACATGTGCATCATCCTGACCCAGCCATGAGAAGCTGGGGTGACTCAGACCAGCCCCCCATCTTCCCTAGGCCCCCTCTTGCCCTCAAATTCATAGAGGCTACTTTTTGAAACCCCTGCCCAGTGTGTCCCTGTGGCCCTCAGGACTCACCGAGGCAGAGGAGGGCAGGCGGGAATGGGGACATGTTCCTCTGTCCAGAGCTCCAGGAGGCTGCAGCTGCACGGGGTCCAGGAAGTGAGGGTCCGTATGGATGGCGCCTTCCGTCCTCCCCCTTCTCCTGCTGCAGCCCAGCTTTCCCAGCTGACACTGGCCGTGGGATGACTGGGTGACCCCCCTGAGCCCACAGGCTGGTGCTGGCTCAAGAAGGTCTCTTATCTGCTCCCCCAGCCTGGCTGCCTCCGTCCGTCTGTCAGCCGGGGCAGTACCAGTGCCTTCCGCGCCCACGAGCTCACTGGGTGCAATGTGAGAGCTCACTTCATGCATACCTTGCTGGCTGCAGGTTTTTAAAAATGAAATGAACATGGACGAGGATGTGGAGAAATCATCATTGGCCCTGTGGCCTGGGCCACCTGGGGGATGAGCCCAGGAGGCCACAGAAGAAATCAGAAGAAATCTCAAAGTCCCTGAAATCAAATGGCCACAGAAATACAATGCACCAAACCTGGAGGGACACAAGGAAAGTAGTTCCAAGGGGGAGGGTCTGGGCTGCGAATGCTCACATAGGAAGAAGAGAGTGACCCCAAGTAAACACCTAGTGATGCGTCTCAAGGTCCCCAACAGACAGGAACCATCCAAATCCAAAACCGACAGGAGGAAATTATAAAGATCAGAGCAGAAATTAATGGAATTGAGACAAAAAAATACATATATATATATATATATATATATATATATATATGATCAATGAATCAGCTTTGGTTCTTTGAAAGGATACAGGCAGGAGACCAGAGGGAAGAGGAGGAGAAGGAAAAAGGATCAAGAGCCACCTGTATCTGTACCGATTTCCCCACAATGAATGTTTATCGGAAACGTGTACTAACAAAAAAATGAATGAAAAAGTCAAGCATGGAATCTATCACTCTCTGATCCAGAGACTCCACTTCTGGGTCTAGACCTACAGAACTGAAAGCAGGATGTCGGTGGGCACTCATAGCAGCAGGGTTCCCAGAGCTGGAGGCTAGAGGCAGCCCAGATGCCCAGCAGGGTAGTCCATGGGTGTAGATGGAGCATGACCAAGGCTTTAAGAAAAGCATTAATGCATAGCAGCTGTGACCCCTTTCTCCCCCTGTCTGACCTCAGCCCTGCGCTCACGGGTCACTCTTCTATTCATCTTGGAGAATCTCCGAACTTCTTTCCACGACCAGGGAATCACATAGACAAGAGCTCCCCTTTTGCCACAGTCTGTTACTGAGTGAGCCTCCAGACCAGGTGGAGATCACAGCAAGACCAGTGGCCAGAGCCCGATCACAGGGCCATGCCAGGGTCCAGGCTTGGGGAGTGAACTCAGCAGCTGGAATTCCCAAGGCAACCTGCAGACGCCAGCTTCCTGGAGCAGGGGACTTGTCCTGGGGTCCCAGAAACCCAGCACCGCTGCAGCCTGAGCCACACTCCTGTGTCGCTGCACCCCTTGGTGGTAACACTGCCATCGAGGGGACAGAAATACACTTTTTAAATTACTTTCATTAGGAGTTATTGTGAGTATACAAATTTACAGGGCACAGAAAGATAATTTTGTACATGTGCACAGTATACAACAGTCAAGTCAGGGTAGCTAATATTTTTATTATAATTCAATAGCCCAAGTTGCTACTCAGGGGAGTTAATATTTCTATCTCCTTAAATTTCTAAAACAATTCTTGACTAGCACATAACAATTGTAGATTTAAGAAGCATCCTGTGATATTTCAATGCAGATTTGCTACCCATCTGGCAGAGAATCAACATCCAGGATATATGCAGAAATTTTCAAAACTCAAAACAAAAAACAAATATTCCAATTAATAAATGGACAAAGGTTGAGGCAGGAGTATGGCTGTGAGTTCCATGTCAGCCTGGGCTACATAGTAAGTACAAAAACAGCCTGAACTACATGGCAAGTCCATGTCTAAAAATTTAAAAAAATAACAATACATATTTTGAAATAAGTTTTTAAAAGAGGCCAAGGATATAAATGGATACTTCTCTGAAAGAGAAATTCAAATGGCCAACAAAGCTGTCAGGGAAATGCATGCTGAAGCCGCGGTGAGATTTGTGTCCCCAGCATCATAAAAGGAAGTGGGAGAGACAGATGTTACCACAGCCCTGTGGGAAGTATTGTAGAGCTTCTGGAGAGACCCAGAATAGACCTGTCAGGGGCTCCACCTATTCTGGCCCCATGGAAGGGTTCTCATTTTTTTCCTTTGAAAAGTATTTATTCAAAAATCATCTTGAGATAGATGCAGATAATAGCAAAGTCACTAGCAATAAAATAAACCTACATAAAACACAAAATTTCATTAAGGTGTTGTTAACCAACACCAGAATGGCACATTTCTCTATATTTCAAACCAATACACTGGCCTAACTCTCACTTTAAAACTGCTTTATTGAGATATAATTCACATGCCATGCAATCCACCCATGATAATGTACATTTTATTTTTGCTTTTTGAGACTGGGTCTTGCTATTTAGCTGTGTAGCTCAGGCTGACCTTAAGTTTACTGTGTAGCCCAGGCTGGCCTAGAACCTGCAGTGATCCTTCTGCTTCAGCCTCCTGAGTGCTGGGATTACAGCCTCCACGCCTGGCTGAACCTGCTTTTATCAGAGCCACAGCATTGATAATTTAACCTATTCCAGGCATCCTGTTACCCACTCACTAGTTCATGCACCTCCACATAACCTTGGGAAATGAGGTTGCCTGGATCCCATTCCTCAGATGCACATTTTTCAAGGTGGAACTTGGGTGCCAAGGGTACAGTAAAGGTTTCCTGTGGCTTAGCACTTGCTCGCTCTGACCTAGGCCAAGTTTCTCTCATTTGGTTGATCTTATGCCCCTAAGTTCCTATTTCTTTTCTCCACTTCCAAGAACAGCTCTAAAATGTTACAAGTACATGAGATTGAAACATTTTTCAATTTGGATTTCTTGATTTGTACTCTAAAAAAGTTGACAGGTGACCATTAGTTTGTGTCTTCAAACTGTACTTTGCATTCTCTCCGTCCTCCTCCCCCTCCCCCTCCCCCTCTCCCTTCTCCTCCTCTCTTCTTTTCTGTGGTGCTGGGGATGGAGCCTTGGGCCTCTAGCATGGCAGGAAGTGCTCACCGCTGAACTTCACATCCAGCCATGACTGCTGTCGTCAGAAATTGCACACTGGCATGGGATCATTCTCCCTCCCTAGAAGCTGTGTTTTGTGATCTCCCTGTGTCAGAGTTTTCGGTGCAATAGAGAAGCAAAAGTACAAAAAGAACAGCTTTATTGAGATGAGGACGTGAGAAGGAGCACACAACCCATGGTGGCTGCGCTGTCTCCTTCCACGGGAATATGGGAGGTATGGCACATATGTAACCTTTGAGGAGGAGTGGTGCTTAGGGCAGGCAATGATGATGCACGAGGAGCTGATTAGAGTTTTATTGCATGCAAACAGGAAAGGGAGTTGCAATTAGGGCTGAGGAAGAAGCAGGAAGTGGTAAGCACTCCCACTTTGGAATTTTGCCACATTAGACCACCGCCATGACTACAGTAATTTATACCAGGGCAGGAACTTTCCACCCTCCTCACCAACAGGACATTCATGGGCTCCCCACAGTGCCACTCCAAGTCCCAGGGGTGCGCAGCAGACTGATCCAAACATCCTCACTGCTCATGCTGCTTGCTGAGTTAAACATCATTCCACACAACCCCTCACGGACAGATGGACAGACGCGAGGTCGTATTTCAAACGCAGCCTTCCATCATTCAACGCTGGGGGCACATTCTGAGAACTGTGTCATTGTGCAACTTCCTCATTGCATAAACAGCACCACATGTGTGTTCTGAGCAAGTCACTCCCATGGTCTCCTGATGTACTCAGGAAACGCCACCTGAGAGGCACCTGCAGTTGTGGTGGGTGAAACGAGCACACTGTGTCTTGCAGTCAACTTCTCTTTAAATGCGAGCCAAGGTTGTAAACACTAAAATAACTGTTAAGGTACAGTAAATATGCAACCCACTGATGGTATTTATTATCATTGTAAGTGTCGTGTGCCATGCACGGTGGTGTGTGCCGTACTACATGACTGGCAGCATGGCCCTCTGACACCATGATCCCCTTAGAATAGATGAACTCAGAGTAAGATCTGCTCAGAATGCATGAGCTCAGAGTAAAGTCCCTCAGAATGGGTGAGCACAAAATAAGATTTCCTCAGAATGGTTGGACTTAAAGTAATATTGCCTCAGAATGGATGAGCTCAGAGTAAGGTCCACTCAGAATGAATGATTCAGTGTAGAATCCTCTCAGGATGGATTAGCTTTGAGTAATATTACCTTAGAATGGATTGGCACTGAGTACAAGCACTTCAAAATGGATGGAACCTGAGTAAGATCACCTCAGAATACATGACGTCAGAATGAGCTCCCCTCAGAATGGATTTACTCAGAGTAAGATACTCTCAGACTGGATGAGCTCAGAGTAAGAGCCCCTCAGAATGGATAGATTCAGTATAAGAGCCACTCAGGAAGGATGGGTGCTGATTAAGATCACCTAAAAACACATGAGCTCAGAGTAAGATCCCCTCAGAATACATGAACTGAAAGTATAATTCCCTCAGACTGGATAGACTCAAAGTAAGATCACCACACAATGGATGACCTCAGAGTAAGATCCCCACAGAATGGATAGGTTCAGTGTAAGATTCCTTCAAAGTGGATGAGCTCTGAGTAATATTATAGCACTTCAGAAAGGATAAACGCTGAGTAAATCACCTCAGAATAGATGACATCAGAATGAGATACTCTCAGAATGGATGTACTCAGAGTGAGATCCTCTCAAAATAGATGATCTCAGTGGACGATCCCCCCAGAATGGATGGTTTCAGCGTAAGATCTCTTCAGGATGGATGGCTCTGAGCAAGATCCCTTGAGAATGGATGAGCTCAGAGTAAGAGCCCTGCAGAGTGGATGGGTTCAGTGTAAGATCCCTTCAGGATGGATGAAATCAAAGTGAGCTTCCCACAGAATAGAGGACTCAAAGTAAGATCACCTCAGAATTCATGAGCTCAGAGTAAGATCCCCTCAGAA